GATGAGGGAAAATGTCCGGCCTGCGCTTCACACATGGACCATTTATTTGAGTTTGAGTTACTCTACAGAGCTGTCTTATTACTCTACAATCGCCAATCTATTGCATCTTGACACCCACTTTCACAATAGGTGCCATGATTGTCATTACTCCCTTTTTAACATTGATTGCTCATCTTGATTTGCCGTCATGAATGTTGAGTATGAAAAGTAACAGCCAGGTGTGACTCTTTAACCCTCCTTTGTGTCGAAGCTGTGCTCGGATAATGAGCAAATCAGAATGTAGAAAGCGGAACAGGAAAAAGGAGGAAGGGACGTCACGCAGGACAAAGGTGGTGTAACCGAGAACAGAGGGTGAGATAAGGGATGGCGCATAAAAAACGGGAGAGATACCAGCGAGGTCTGGAGTGCCTCGAGAGCGAGTAGGTGTGAGAACGAGAGTCAAGAATCTTGAAGATGTGTGAGGAAGTATGTGAGGTGCGATGCTGCGTGACTAACACCGGTCTATGGAGCAGACAGTGAGGAGCTGAACTCTGCTGATGACTTTCTGCCGCCCTGCGGAGAGGGAGACCCACTCGGCTCATTAAAACTTGCAACATGTGGCTAATGCTCAGCAGTGTGTGTGTGTGTGTGTGTGTGGGCGGGTGTTTGTGTGGCTTCTTGCTACTGTATACTTGTGGGGTACTTTATTTTGTCTGGAGGTATGTGTACGTGTTGCTGTGTACGTGATCCACACCTGAATGCTCTGATACATATTTCCTCTGCTGTCAAAGGCTGATATATGTTCGCTCTGCCTTATGCGGTACATCTTTGCTATCAGAATGGGTGTGTGATGTATTTGGTTTAGAGAGCAGGCGACGTGCAAATCCATCAGTTTGCGAGATCTTTGCTGCCTGACACACTTTTCCAGGCATTTTTTTTCTGAAAGATTGTTGATCTGACATTAAATCATTTTCCTGCATTTGAGCAGTTTCAGTCAAAGATGGCTGAGAGATTCACAGCATCACACGTACACGATAATCTATGCGCCTTAAGTGCCACACTGTGTTCTCACCAAAGCAAACCTGCTTTTTTCCCTCCTGCTTCTACTGTACTTGTCCAACATTTGAGTCAGACGTTTTCTGTAAAGCGGCCTTCTGAAGAGATCAGCCCCGCCATTTTGACAAAGTTTAGATGCTGACCAACAGCTCTCCTAGTCTGTGGCTGCATTCCCAAAAACAGTAGGGAGCTCCTGGTTACAGGAAGCTGATTATTTTATAGTCACTGTTTTGGCATATATCCTAGCCTAAAACCTCTGCAAGTCATTAGAAGGCTATTTAAATAAACGTGAACCTCCAGCAAGCAGAGGGATAAGCCTTGAGGGTAGCTGTGAGTAGTAATCCCCATGCATCACCTAGCAGGCTTAGTGCAAACTCTTTCTTTCCATTCACACACGCACATAGGCAAAAAAAATGGTCCATACACACTCGCTGAGATACTGGGGCACACAACACCACTGGATATATGTTTGCTTTACAGTCATACACTGAAACTCAGGGATTTTGTGCAAGGAATGAATAAGACCTTTCAAGCAGCAACAGCAATAGCAATGAGGATGACTCTCTCACTCCAAATGCAGATTGTGATGTCCAGGGTCAAAAAGTGAAGCGTCGCACACGACACATGGCGGCTGTCGTGTCGTCAAAGCTTCGGGTGGGGACTGAAATAGCAGAGCAGAGGGGATCAACAGCTGAACAGCCGCTCTGCAGCATCCTGAGAAACAATGTCTGTATCTCCCTTTTAAACATGCATGTATGGGTGATGATGATATTAAAGTGTCTGGAGTTGATGAGAGAAGGCACTACATTTGAACTGAACTGATGTTACCCTAACATTACTTCTGTATAGCAGTAAGACTCCATTATTTCTAGGGTTAGACACACATTTTGTCCCCTTTTTACCTCTGAGGAGTGTGCACATTTTCGTTTTATTCACTTTTCAGTTAATCAAATTCAATAAAACTCAACAACGGTATATACTGTAGTTTTGTTTTAACCACAGTAATGGGATTTTTTCCCTTTTTGAGCTATTAAAAAGGGCTTAAAAATCAAATTAAACATACAATAAGCCGATACCACGCTCTATGATCTGTATATCCTCGCACTTTTCTTCCACTTCTTCTCTTCCCTGACCCTCAAACTCACACAAACACTCCATCACACATCTCCAGGTTACTCTCCAGATGCATGCACACTCTTTTGTGCACGTCTACACCCCCCCTGCCCTCACTTGCTGGCACTATAAAACTCCACCCGGCTTTTCTGCCCTGAGCCGTTCCCGTTCTGGAGCGGAATTGCAGCCTCCCCTCTAAATCCCACAGTGGCAGACAGTATAAATGAAGTTTGTTTCCCAGCCTACAGCGCTGAATAACACCCTCATAACTTCTGTTTGCGTTGCCTGAATTAGCTGCGATAGCTTGCCCGCGTCTCGTCGGTGGGTGAGTGCCAGCCGCGCAGGGCTAATGACGGCTAATGACTGTTTACGGTGACAGGATCGTTGTTATCCGCCCGCCACCCCCACCCCAGTCTCCAGCTGTTATTATTGTTATCATCATCACTGTACTGCTTTTGATAAGTCCCCACACACACCCGTTTACAGTAAGTGTTTGCTTGATGAAAGGCCCTCATGGTTCCAAGCAGTTATGCCAAGTGTGGTGTGATGGTTGGATTTTCTCAGGGAGTTTTGCCTCCCATTGTTTAACGGAGATAGAAGTCAGGAGCGTGTGTGTTCTTGTGTCCTCGCATGCTGGCCAGCCTCTCATATGTGTGTGTGAACAGGCCTCATGATGGAGAACAAATTGAAAATGAGATGGCTTGCACATCCTTTTTTTTTTTTTCTCCCTCTGTGTGTGTGTGTGTGTGTGTTTTGTGTGGGTCTAGCTAATTTATTCAGGTTATTTTCTCTTCCCCAGACCCATGCAAATGAGATTGAATGGGAAAGGATGACAAGCATTCAGGCACAAACAGACAGCCTCATCTCTCTCTCTCCAACACGACTCTGCTAACTGCTTTCTCCTTTTCTGTGTCACCCTTTTCTTCACTTCTCTCATCTCATTTTCCACGCTCCTCTCTCTCCCTCTAAACACACACCTGGCTTCACTCAGCGATACAGAAACACACAGCAACACATGCACGTGTTCCCTTAAAAGCCAGTGAACAGAGAGGGAGCTTAACTACAATGCACTGACCCTGAGAGGGTGGTTCTAGCAAAACAGCGCGCTCTCCCTCGTGGATTTTGCCGTGACAGTTTGCTCCCAAACGATAAGCTCTGCTAACCATGTTCCACTGAAGTAAAGGGGGTTTCTCTCCATTGTGTTTGGTAATAAGAGAACCAGCTCTGTGTTAGCGATGGCTGCTAATACCTCACTGTGATAGCATTGCCATCCTTTTGATGTATGTGCCTTTTTTTAATATATTCCACCGCCTGTTTTTTGTAGGTGTAAATGTGTTAGTCTGTGATGTTGATGAGTGTGTGTTCAAAAGAGCATTTTCCAGTATGAGAAATTGCATTTTTGTCGTTGCACATTTGCCTCCATGTGTTTGTTTCCCAAAAAACAGGCTGTTGGTGACAGTGGAGACAAAGGCTAATAGTTCTGGTGTAATTAGTTTCAGATTTAGCGTGAAGATGCCATGTGTTGTTCTTCAGGGGGAATTATCATAATGAAACATGCCCTGTCTCTGTTTATTTACACCCTTTGTCCTCTCTTTTTTTCCTTCCCTTTTTCCTCTTTGCTCCAGCGCTTCCTCTCTACCAATTTCCCCTCAGCCTCTTTTGTAACCTGTCATGTCCATTTCTTAATATGCTTCTTTCTCCCCTCCCCTCTCCTCCCTCCAGAGGTGCCGGTGTCATCGGTGCTTTGTCTCTCCTCCGTCAGAGAGCTTCCTGTTCAGGTCAGGGAGCTCTACGCTCAGGGTTTTGTCCTGGTCGCCGTCCACCCGTTTGTCCATCCCTGCGGACCTCGTAACGCACACATCCAGCGCCAGCTCCACCGGGCCGTGCTGGTCCGAGAGACGCCAAGGTACACAAACTAAACACACACTGTTTTTCAGCATGAGGGCCACCTTTTTATAGATGGATTTCTGTCACAAATTGATTAAGATAGATGATTTACAGCCACTTTACACAACGGTAAGAACAGCTTTTGCAACTTCATTGTTTTGACAAGGAAGCCAATTGAGACCCATTACCACGAGCTCAATTCTGCGCCTCACCTCGTTCCCTTGATGCAAAATTAATTGCAGATGAGTCAGCCACAAAAACCGGCTAACTTTAGCTCCTTGTCCCAATTCTTTCTCTTTTGACTATACATGATAATATACTGTACTGTGCGTCTGTGTTTGGTTTCTATAACCCAGTTATTTTCTGGAGAAAACATCAATATTCACGTCATATTTGAGCAGAGCATTATGTTCATACATCCCTGCTATCAGCTCTAGTACAGCATGCAAGCTGAGCTTTATTCTCTGCATCACGTCGTGGAAGTGAGTGACAGATTTGCTCAAAACAAAATCTATATTCGTTCATGCAGAGTTTCTGTTGTTGGATTTGTAGCTATGTTTCAATTTGAGTCCAAAATTATGGATCTTTTTTCCTGCTAATGGCTTTGGCAATGGCAACGTCTTTGGATGGCAATTTTGGGACATTTTTTGGGTCCAGGCGTAAAAATCTCAACAACTATTGGATGGATTTCCACATTCGTGTGTCCCTCAGGATGAATCCTAATTACTTTGGTGATCCCCTGACTTTTCATCTAGTGCCTCCAGGAGGTCAGAGTTTTCACTTATCCTGTGAACTATCTTGACATCTTCCAGATGGATTGTTACAAAATGTGCTACAGACATCCATTTTCCCCTCAGGATGAATTATAAAAACTTTAATGACCTTTTAAAACCTTTAACTTCTCTCATCTAGTGCCATCATCTGTTAAACATTTCAAATTGTCCAATTATTTTGGTATATGACCCAATACATCTTCCTAATGTGCCCCCAAACCTCAGCTTTACTTTTGATTTTAAAGGTCAGCATACTAACATGCTAATATTAAGTGGTAAAAACGATAAACGTACGTTTATGAGAGAGAATATAGATATTTGCAATTAATACTATTTGGCTACTCCCAGGCCTGGGAGTATGCTTATCCGGTCTACATGTGTTTTGTAGACTTGGAGAAGGCGTATGACCGAGTTACTGTGGGAGGTGCTGCAGGAGTATGGGGTGAGGGGGTCTCTACTCAGGTCCATCCTATCTCTGTACTCCCAAAGCGAGAGCTGTGTCCGGGTCCTCGGCAGTAAGGACCCATTTCCGGTGAGGGTTGGCCTCCGCCAGGGCTGCGCTTTGTCACCAATCCTGTTTGTAATATACATGGATAGGATTTTGAGGCGTAGTCGTGGGGGAGGGGGTCTGCAGTTCGGTGGACTAAGGATTGCACCACTGCTTTTTGCAGATGATGTGGTTCTAATGGCTTCATCGGTCTGCGACCTTCAGCATTCACTGGATCGGTTCGCAACCGAGTGTGAAGCGGCAGGGATGAGGATCAGCACCTCCAAATCTGAGGCCATGGTTCTCAGCAGGAAACCGATGGACTGTCCACTCCAAGTAGGGAATGAGTCCTTACCCCAAGTGAAGGAGTTCAAGTATCTCGGGGTCTTGTTCTCGAGTGAGGGAACAATGGAGCGTGAGATGGGCCGGAGAATCGGAGCAGCGGGAGCGGTACAGCAGTCGCTTTACCGCACCGTTGTGACGAAAAGAGAGCTGAGCCAGAAGGCAAAGCTCTCTGTCTTCCCGGCCATTTTCGTTCCTACCCTCACCTATGGTCATGAAGGATGGGTCATGACCGAAAGAACGAGATCGCGGATACAAGCGGCCGAGATGGGTTTTTTTCCGCAGGGTGGTTGGCGTCTCCCTCAGGGATAAGGTGAGAAGTTCAGTCATCCGGGAGGGACTCTGAGTTGAACCGCTCCTCCTTCGCGTCGAAAGGAGCCAGTTGAGGTGGTTCGGGCACCTAGTAAGGATGCCACCTGGGCGCCTCCCTAGGGAGGTGTTCCAGGCACGTCCAGCTGGGAGGAGACCGAGGGGTAGACCTAGGACCAGGTGGAGGGATTATATCTCTTCGCTGGCCTGGGAGCGCCTTGGGATCCCCCAGTCAGAGCTGGTTGATGTGGCCAGGGAAAGGAACGTTTGGGGCTCTCTGCTGGAACTGCTACCCCCGCGACCCGACCACGGATAAGCGGGAGAAGATGGATGGATGGATGGACTATTTGGCTAGTAACGTTTCTATAAATAACTAACAAAGATAATGTTCCATATAAATCATAGGTATCTTATACCCTAGTATTTATGTAGCAATTTCAATAGAATTTCCTAAAACAGACATTTCCGAAACATACCGTGTGCAAGTAATCTACATTACTTTAAATGATGCTATAGAGTGCCAGATTTAGCTTTGATACAAAAACTTTTCAATACAAAAGTGCCCCCCTGTGGATCAGTCTGTGGGTTTTCACAAAGAGAAACATAGTTACATATGTTCCCTCCATATGATATCAATTTATTTTCTTCGACTTCTTCGCAATTAAAGGAATTATTTAGCTAAGTATACAGTTTTTGGCACCCTCCTGTGTGCCTTTTATAATGTGAATCTAAGGAATAGCATATTGTAGACACACTCATTCACACACACACACACACACACACACACACACACACACACACGCACACGCACACGCACACGCACACGCACACGCACGCACACACAGGTGCCAGGCTGCTCCTTTGATGCCCCTCCTGCCAAGTGGTCCTGCTGCTTCCTGGCACCTGTCACCGTGGAGACGGCTGATTGCATCATCAGCACTCGCCAGAGGGGAACGGCGCGCTGAAAGAGAGAAACCATCTCTCCATCCTTTCATCTGCTTCCTTTAGCGATGGCTGATCCCCCTTTTCTTTTGTCCTCCTCGCCCCCCTCCGTCGCCTTTTAACTCCGCCTTTTATCTCCCCATCACCGCCATCCCCTTTCATCAAAAACCCTAAAAATGAAAGGAAAAAAATCTGACAGAAGTACTGTTTCAAATCTAGCTGCGAGTGTCACTCACGCCTGAGAGCACAAGATATTACCACGGCCTTCCCACTGACCTCAATCCAAATGTGAAGAGGCGTATCTGAATGCTGCTTTTATGATGGTCTCTTGCAGTGGGAGAAGAAGGAAATTAAGTCCCTTTTTCTATCTAATAAGTCTATTGTGATCATGGTGAATGTGTGCTCCCGTTTAATGGGAAAGTCAGCCTGTACCAGAATTGCCATTATATTTCTCCTGTGATCATTCTGGGTCAATGAGTAGTCGTGAACATGTGTGCCTGAATCTCATGTAGTCTGTAGGTGGTGGAACTGCTCTGGTGATAATGGACAGCCTGGAAATGTAATATAATAACAGTACAAGGACACTTTTGGTTAATGGGAGCAGAGATGAAGGGAACTAAATTACATATTAATGTTTTATACTGAATATTTGTTTAAATTCTCGAATTTTTCAACCTGTAGTTCAGAGAAGAGCCAACTGAGGTGGTCGAGACAGCGCCTGGAGACAGATGTGTGTGTGGCCAGTCACCAGGCTGCTGACCCAGAAGTCATCCAGAGCTATGTCAAGAGGGTGAGTTCATTATTTAGCATTCAATTAAGTATTTTTACTGTAATTACTAGGGAAGGTCAAATAGGATGTTTGCGCAACATGGTATTAACGATGAGGTAAACAGGGTAAAGGGCCTAACATCGCCACAATTACTTAGAGGAAAGGCCTTTTAGTGAAAACAGGTTTCAGGCAATACATGCTTCCTTTTAAAAGAAAAAAACTAGTTTAGATTCACTTTTGTATGTGAACATACTAGGGATGCTGTTTCCCTCAATATGTATTCCAAAACCTCAACTATGGCTATACCATATTCTCTAACTGCAATTGGAAACTGTTTTATAGTTATATGAGGCCAAATATATCTGTGGCACTAAAAATAGTTGCTGGCTAATGTCCATTGAGTCAGCTTCATTTGGTCATTTGGTCATTTGGTCAAGACAAATGACTGTAGTTATAAAACATGTAGGTAAGCAGAGAGACTTTATGAAGTCTACTCCTGGGTCTAGTTTCTCAATGCTACATTAGCTGCTGCTGCAGTAGTACAACACACTGAGTTTCCACTTGTTGTGTAGTATACGGTTGCAGGAATGTGGGAAGAACAGCCTCTCCTTGTAAACTGTTGTCTGACAATGTTCTTGGAGTACAATACTAAAGAAACAATGGTGAATAATTTGTATTTATTTTGTGTGACTATATGAACAAAATAGAGTTATGAGAGGTTGGGTGGTACACACCATGACATGGATTTGATGTACTGATGTTGCCATGTTTGCAGGAAAGTAAAAAAAACATGTGGAAAAAAACAATCTGTTTACACCCCGGGTCCCCCTTGGATTTTCTCTGTATTTGTTTTCCTGTGTGTCTCTCATGTTGTTGCAACACTGCTGCTGTGACAGTGGAGAAACATTATGGGGCTCAAAGGGCTACAGGCAACTGTCTGTAATTGCCTGTCTGTGCCATATGGTAACCCTGTCTCTAAAAAATAAATGGAGGAGGAAAAGAACAGTGATTTCCTTTCCTTCACATTTTTTTCAAATAATGGATCCCCACTAGTTGCATCTCATGTGACAATGCTCCATATCGTGTAACTAGGGAACAGAAGGAGGACCTTTATAATGAATGGAAGGTCACAGAGCTATGGTTTACTATAATGAGACGTAACCCTAAGATACCCCGCCAACCACAGCGTCATCACTGGCATTTATCAGCTGTAAAACTCAATTTTGGTCTCCATGCTCATGAATTCTCCAACAGTCACAATGGGAAATGAAAATGTGCTCTATTGAATAGATTTGCATCTGAACACCCATAGAGCACAAAGGGAAACCTGATTGGATGGAAATGCACATCACTGAATATAATGTGATAGGCTCCGGCAGCGTGACATGAATAACCAATCGGATCACAAGCTGCCAGAGAGAGTTCGAGATAAGAAACCAGGAGCGGCACCGGGCAGGCAGAGTGACAGGCTGGTGTGTGTGTGTGTGTGTGTGTGTGTGTGTGTGTGTGTGTGTGTGTGTGTGTGTGTGTGTGTGTGTGTGTGTGTGTGTGTGTGTGTGTGTGTGTGTGTGTGTGTGTGTGTGTGTGTGTGTGTGTGTGTGTGTGTGTGTGTGTGTGTGTGTGTGTGTGTGTGTGTGTGTGTGTGTGTGTGTGTGTGTGTGTGTGTGTGTGTGTGTGTGTGTGTGTGTGTGTGTGTGTGTGTGTGTGTGTGTGTGTGTGTGTGTGTGTGTGTTCAGTTTTGAAATTCTATACTTCAATTTCTCAAGCCCTCGCCATCCCACCCACTCTCAATCTGTCTCGGGACGTACTCATCAGATCAAAACTGTGTGACTTTGTGTAATTGCGAGGGTGTCGGCTGGTAATGGAGAGACTGTTAATATATGTGATTGCGTGTGTATGGTTGAGTGAAGTGTCAAGAGCAGTGGGGTAATGGGGGAAGATGTGTTTCGTTATTGTTTGGTGGTAGTTAGCAATTTGATTTCTCTCCCGTCGAGCCTGTCTAAAACTGTCAGCTCAAATATCAACTGACAATTAACCACCAGTGCTCCACGGGAGGGAGTGGCACACACACACACAACCCCCCCCCCACACACACACACACACAGGCAAAGTACGCGTACATACACGGATGCGTTGAGATAATGAGGTCCCTTTGTCATTTGAATATTTGATCTTTGCAGATGATTAGCTAGGTTGTTATTTAGCTGAATATCTACTGTGCGTACGTCAGCCTTTGTTTGTGTGTAAATGAGGCTTTGTTTGTCTGACTATAGAAGAAGAGACAGAGCACATGTATTTGTGCTGCTTTGAAAGACGCCTTTTTATTTAACCGTTTATTTGGCAGGGACAATGCACAGTAATGAACACTTAAAACATTCAAATGTGTCAAGCGTAACAGTGTCAGATTTAGCTTTGAGCTCATTTCCATCCGCAGTCCCTCACATAAAACATTTAAGAAGTTTACATTTTACAAACATAGCAAAAACAAAATACATGATATGCAAAAGGTGCAAAAGAGCAAGAGCAGCATACACGAGTATTTTTACATTTCCACATCTCTAAATGTATTCTAATGTGAGTTAATGTTGTGGTTATGCTAAACCCCTTACAGATCCAGGATGTAGCGGAGCAGGGGGTGATGTTTGTGGGCTTCCTCCAGCAGCCAGGCGGAGGACCCTGCTACTCAGGGAGCTGGGACCCTGAGAATCTGTCCTCCTTACATTCAAGCCCCTCACCTATTCACCGACATCCCTTCAGCGCCAAAAACAGCCCAACAGATCCAACAGAACCACATCATAATGAGCCCGGGTTAGATCATGAAGGTGTAGAAAATTACACACAGGACGACGAGACAAGAGACGTCATTCCTCTGAAACCCATCCAGAGTTTAGAGCTCGACCAAGAGGAGGCCAGTGAGCAAATCTTCAACGAGTCACTAGAATCAAGGAACCAACATCTCAGCGGTGTGGACACAGCTTTTAAGCGTTCAAATCAGAACCCAGCAGAAGCCCAGGTGAAGCCGCTGTGTCCCAGCCCTCCAGAAGCTGCAGGTATAATCAGACAGCAGAGAGGCCGTCTACCAGACCTCCAAGAGTCCACAGAGAAACATTTGGATCTTTCCAATCAGACAGACAGACAGAGCTCGAGCTCCTGCAGCTGGCCCAGCTCTCCTGAACTGGATCGAGGCACGGAGAGAAAGTCCTCCTGCACAGAGGGGCAGAGCAGAGCGACGACGCACAACAACAACCATATCCGGATCAAGGGTTCAGAGAAAGATGAGAATGCAGCTACACCGCCAGCGCAGGGTAGTAAGTTACCAGTTTCCTGTTTGCAGTGAGGGAATGTCACTAAAAATCAGAATCAGAATACCTTTATTAGTCCCATAGAGGGGACATTTGCATTTGTTATAGCAGAAAAAAGCCCAAAACAGCTTCATATTACCCAAAAGCATGCATTAAGAGTAAATGTACTCAAACACTTTTTGCATATATAATATTTCTATTTTAGGCCCCTTTTGAATTATATTCCACTTAATCTCAGCTGCACATAATGATACTTTTTACTCCACTACAATCATTTATATAACTTTGTAGATTTAGAATTATTACACATTTTGAAATCAACTGATAAATAATGAAGGATTATTATTGGTGAGCTCGACCATCACCAGCTTCAATGTAAAAGTGATAAACACATAAATAAATATGTATTCTGAAATTGTAAATCCTGCAGTGCACAATGAGTACTTTTACTTTTGGATTCAGAGTGTAACAGAGTATTTCTACACTGCAGTAATACTAATTTAGATCTTAGTACTTCTGCCACCACTACCTGTTTCTACTGGGGTTATTGAATAAAAAAGCCTCATTATGCAGAGTTAATTTTGGCTTTGTGTTTGTGCGCCTGTAGGGATGCAGCTCTTTGCCTTGTACAACCACACGGAGGAGCTGAACACTTCTCTGAGGTTCTACTCTCTCAGGGTGCCGCTGCAGGTGCAGAAGGAAGCAGGGCTGATCACAGATGTCGACACAAACTGGCTCGACCACATGACTCAGCATTTCACCAGCGGGGCGCACCTCATCGATGGGTTCTTCCAACTTGAAGACAATAACGGTGTGGTTTGTGGCCATAGCAATTAACTACTGCATATGTCGTCCGTTTTGAAGGGCTGTCACTCTAGAGTCATACATGTAGAGCATGAAACATCGAATCAGCAAATGTACCATTAAGTACTCAACTTTAATCTTTAATAGCACTTGATGGAATCTTGGTCATTGGTCTAATTCCCCCACAAAAACTGCTGAAAACAACGTTGATGAGAACAGACAGAAGACTGAACCAAGACAGTAAAGCTGAGGGTCGTATATCCAAAAAGAATACAGGCTTAAAGAAGCTACAAATCCTCCGGGAAGATAAGGTTACCTGCAGAGTTGGGGGACGATTACCTGTGGGTTCTCCAATATGGTGGGACCAATAAGGCGGACACCACATGAATTAAGAATTGTAATGTTTTATTTCCATAGCCCAGGGAAAGAGCTGTTCTGTAGACAATGAATGAGAGACTGATTTCAGTTTCCACAGAGTTTTTTCTTTTTACCCAAAAGAGCCTTTTTCCATTGTAGTATTCCTGGTTCTAAAACTTGAATTGTCCCAATTTAATCAGCATATTCCCCTTGGTATTCTCAGTGCATAACATATAGTACTTCCTGATGTATTATGGAGTCTATGGAGCAGTTTCAGACTCTATATTTAATGACATCACATTTTGAGTTTTAGCACATCTTGTTACGATTTGGGGGGGTAGAAAATAAAACCCTCTCTCTTTTCCTCCGTACCCAAATCTCTAAAAACGGGGGTACAACGGAGCTGATCCAGATTTGCGTCCGATATGACGTAATATCGGAAATGTGGACCCACGGCACTATCAGAAAGTTGCCATCAGAAACAATGCCCGACTGTTTTGGACGTAATATGGTCGGTGTTCACATTAGCATCGCTAACACTCAGAGCTAACCTGTACTGCACAGAGCATGTGTGTGAAGAAGCAGGAAATAAAAAGGAACTCACCTTGTGGTATAACCGGCAAGAGAGAAAGCCTTTGAGCTCCATACTGTTTCAGAAATAATCCTTGATAATCCATGATATGGCGTTTCATCACGGCAGTATCTGCCGGTAGAATCTCCCGCATGAGCTCAGCCCCCTCCTTTTTTTTTGTTATCAATTATTTATTTTTTAAAGCTTTTTACCCCAAATCAGCGCTTTTGAAACAGGAAGTGAAATAGAGCGATATGAGGCTTGGCTAGAATGGGTGATGTGTTTGGTATTTTGAGCAAAACACTTCATAGACATGTTTTTTATATATTTGTATATATCTGAGACCTATGCTATTGCCTAAAAATAGCATGATAGGTGACCTTTAACACATTTTTTTTTGTTGGACTGTCTTAGTCCATGGATGGGTGTAGTTACTCTTAAACACATTCACTTGATCTTATCAAATAAACATATGGATGGTTGCAGCTCAAACGTAACTTTTTCACCACACCGCCTCACCTTTCACAGCATTGACAAGATTAAGGAGCAGCTCGGGCTGTAGCCTCCGCTCCACTGCAGGGTAATGGATGATATCCATGGAGTGACGTGAGTTAAGTCCGCGGCTTATGCCATAAGTCACTGTTCAGTCACCCATGGAATAAGTAGGCTTAAGCCAGAGGGAACAGGGGGATCAATAGTGAGAGATTGGAGAGTGGAGATGAGCTTGTAACTCCTGTCTGACTCGCATACATCCTCCTCTCTTCATCTGACCCTGTCCCGTTTCTCCAGACAATGGCGTTTCATCAGTGGACAGTGTGTTCATCTTCCAGAGCTCCGCGGAGGACGCCACACACACCTCCTACGACGCCATCGTGGTGGAGCAGTGGACCGTTGTTGATGTGGGTCTTTTGAGTTTTTAATACTCTGTGCACTTTGAGGAATCCTTTGTGACTGAAGGCTTAAGCTGCTTTCTGTCAAACATGACTTGAAAGAGTGGAGATGAAGGAATGTAGCAAGTGAGCTTACGGCTGAGTTAAAATAGTGTGTGTGTGTGTGTGTGTGCGCAATGCCTTTTCCTCAGTGTTTTCTGTCTCTCATGTCCAGGGAGTTGTGGTGAAGACAGACTACATCCCCCTGCTCCAGTCTCTGGCTCCCTATGGATGGAGGCTGATGTGTGTGTTACCCACACCCATTGTGAAGACCAACAGGTACAGAACCACACGCCAACGTACCCCTGGTGGAAAGTATTTACTCAAGTACTGTATTTAAGTACACTTTTGAAGCACTGGTACATTTACTGTAAGAGGTAAACATTGTAGTCTCTACTCCTCTACATTTATTTGACAGCTTAGAATTCTAGTCACTTTTAGGATCATGGATAATAATACACATTTGTTGAAGTTCAACACATTCTACGGCACTAAACCAGTGTTTTTCAAACTTTTGAGATTCAGACATCTTACACAAAGCAAAAAGTGTATTTGGGACACATTTCAGATTCAGAGTTACTCCATTAAATATTTATAGTTCCCTCTAAACATTTCAAGAAATGTTCAAAAGCTCCAACTTTTCACCAAAAAGAAAAGACATAAGTCCAAAAAGGTTTTTCTTCTGTCCTCTCCCATTACACATCTCAAGCATGCTGCTTAAACATTTAGCTAATTACTTCATGTCATATATAATGTATCAGTTAGAGGGACCACATTTATATTTGAGCTTTAACTATGTTGTGCTGCTACTACTTACAAACTAGGATTCTTACGTTTATGCTGTATATTTGCATTTACTGAAGAAAGGATCTCTGAAAGATTCCACTTTAACAACCTTAACAACAACCTGTCCTTTCCTTTCTCTATATTCACACAACTAAGGACTAATTAGTGCTTTGTTGATTTTACAGCCTTTTCTCTTATGTCTTAGACTCTGCCTGTCTGGTTGTTTTTGGGATTAGGCCTGACAGCGTAGCTTAGATACACAGAACAGATGGTTTAAGATCTGACAAATAAAGATCATATCCTCGTCTCGACATGAAACCTCTTTTAATATCTGCCGCTGCTGCGAACAAAAGCGCTGTCGCTGACGTGCTGTTGTCTTGTAACCTGTCACTTTCCGAACAGCAGCGAACAGAATCTGGATTTCAAAAGTGACAGATTATAACAAAAACAGGTAAAAGTGCTGTTTCTTTTCTTTCTGCAGTGACGGGAGTTTGTCGACCAAGCAAATCCTCTTCCTTCAGAGACCCGTTCTGCAGCGCAAGAGAAAAGACTTCAAGGTTGGTTCCCCTTTGTCTTCCATCTCCGCCTCAAGTCTGTCACTTGTGTCTGTTTTGCCTTTAGGGTACAGGCTTTATGTCACAGAAGGTGCCATTGAAAAAGTTGTTACTAAATATGAGACATACAGCAAATAAAAACACTCAGTATAAATGTCTAATAATAGGCGAAGATATGACCTCAAACTGTACAGGAAAGAGGCATCAATGAGAAAGGCTTTGTTGTGGTTTGGCAGGTGTCTGGAGAGATGGAAAGAAAGAGAGTCGGCACAAAGAGCAAAACTATCTCAAACACATCTCTCTGGTTTCAGATGCGCAACCTCAGGGGTCGCAGCAAGGCGAAGAAGAAAACTACCGGGGAAACGGAAGAGGAGAGGGAGAACATGTCCCCTCTGATGGAGACGGAGATGGACAGGTTGAGGAGGAACTCAAAGGAGGAGGAAGAAGAAGAAGAAGAGGGGAGAAAGAGCAGGGGCAGCGTAAGGAGCGAAGGTGGAAAGGAGAGTAAAGAGGATACACACCATCAAAGGGGCTTCTGGTTCTTATCGGGGAGCAGGGCTTCTGTCGAGGAACAGGAAGAGGAAACCGACGTGGACGAGATCAAGCTGTCCGAGCTGGAGGAGAGATGGACAGATGTGTGCCGGAGAAGTGACGGGGGGGTCAAGGAGGAGGGGAAGACAGAGGAGAGGATCAAGCAGCAGCTGTTTTCAGGCGTCTGTTGACACATTGGGCACAAAGCAGGCGAGGGGGGGGGGGGGTCGGTGGGAGCTGAAGCCTGTTTAGAGGATCAAAAACAATGCCTTTTAAAATAACTTTTTGTTCATCTGGAGTTTCTTTTTGTTCCCCTGACAACCCAGATGTAGTCATACTGTTCCCGGTCCTGATGTACTGTTGCGAGTCTTTGAGGTTGTAGATCCCAGATTTGGGAAAGTGTTGTGCAGTTCTCTGCTTTGGGTCACTGTTGCTATTTGATGTGTCATTATATGAAATGAATCTGTGCAAGGCTGAGAGAGAACCACCTCCAGTCCACGCCTTAATTCTCTTGTTGTATTTTAATACTTTTCTTGTAATAGGAACGTTAAAAAGGGAGTTTCACTGGGCTCGCTGTATTTTTATATATGGAGTATATAATTAAAGATAGAAACAAGAAAGGGACAAGTCGACAGAGTATGACGTACACGGTTGGAGCACGACTGATACATCAATGATTTAGCTTATTATAGATTTGTATATATCTACCGGCCTAAGTAAATAACTACGAAATTGCAGACAGTTTTTAGGTCATTAAGAAACTTTTTCTTCAAGACACACTGTCGTTTCGTCAACAGTAAGTCTATTCTTCAATTCTAAAATATTTCACTCAATGAAGTATCTTCACCACAACTTTATATTCAAATATTTAAGGGATTTAACAATAAACCAAAAAACGTTGGTCAGAACAATGACATCGACCAACTTCATATTTATCCGACTTTTAAAATTCTCTGTATGTATCGGCCGGACTCTTTTCCAAAATGTAAATGGTGTTTGGTCTAAACAATAACGTTTAGTCAGTTCAAAATAATTATAAAAAAGTATTCTGTCACTGGAGGAATCTAGTTTTCTCTGGCCAGATATTGGGATAACTATCTCTGAGCTTTCATCACCTCAGTACAATGATGTTAAAAGCTTTCTGTGTATGGTGCACTGCTCACCACCTAAATAGAAATCACATCTCTTATCTGAAGCTGTGATCTAATAGTTTACATAACACACAGTTTCTTCTTTAGAAAGCTGTTCCTATGAAGACTGATTAGTTGTTGGTCTGTTTATTATCCAGAGTAACAGGGAAATGGCTTTCCAACTTTTTTAAATGCTGGAAGAGACAGACCATAAATGAGTTTACTTGATTAGACTACAAGATGAAAGGAAAAAAGCCTTTTGTAATTCAAGAAAACTGAACTTTTCCTTCTTTGAAAAACGTGTAAATTAACAATCAACTATTTATTTCTTATTTCCTGGACCACCTGTGTCGTGTCTGAGTAGTGTGACATGTGAGTCTTTATATAAAAGCGGAGGTCAATAAAGTGTTTGAAAACAGATTGACTCAATTTCCTTTATTTCCTCTAAATCTCACGTTACCGGCATAAACTGTTTTCTTCATACGAGGAAAAACAGCAAAAAACAACTCAAAAATGGGCCTCGGCAGCGTAACCCCCACTGAGACGCCGACAAGAAGCTCGCAAACATCTCTGAGGGATGTTCAGTGATCCAAGCCAATCAGAGACCACCTGGAGCTTCTATTACAGTGCACCATGGGAGACGCACTGCACCCTGGGACCAGAACCGTTCATGGCTACGTAGATGTGTGTGATTGAGTTCAAATGTATGTGAGATTGGCACACTGTATGCATGTAAGGGTGTGTGATGGAGTAAAACATGCAGGGACACGTGCCAATACGTGGGAAATTGTTGCTTTTCTTGAAAACTTGGTGTGAAGTTAGCATGCGGGTAAAATGTGAAAAACAACGCTCCAATGCAGTCAAAGTCATCAGCCAAACAACTCTTAAAATCTTCAGCTCTGCAAATAAATAGCTCTGAGTTATATACACACCACAACACTTCTTAAACACATGATAAAATCAGCAGAGGTATTTTGATAGAGGTAAATCAGTCGTTCCAACACGTATGTAACGTGTAAAATAACAGAACAGATTGCTTGCACTAACCCTCTTTACCTTAGAGACTTTGAAGACATCTGTATGGGTATAGCGCTTATTTAATGAATTGCCAAGAGACATAAGATTGTGAAATATGCAGCTCAGTCTGTAGGGTCTTGGCTTGGAAACTGAAGGTCGCCGGTTCAAATCCCGCCCGGTCGGACAGAAAAATTCAAAGTGCATGGACTAGTAGCTGTAGACAGAGTTGCCAGTTTACCTCCTTGGCACTGCCGAGGCATCCTTGAGCAAGGCACCAAACCTGCACAGCAGCCTATTTGCTCTGGCACCTTTATAATGCATGTGTTTGTACATAACTGTGTTCAGATGCAATCTGTATAGGCCCTGAGAGAGAGAGAGAGAGAGAGAGAGAGAGAGAGAGAGAGAGAGAGAGAGAGAGAGAGATGAAGAGGAAGATAGAGAGAGAGAAGGAGATAGAGAGAGAGAGAGAGGAGAGAGAGAGCGAGACTAGAAGAGAGAGGGAGATAGAGAGAGAGAGAGAGAGAGAGAGAGAGAGAGAGAGAGAGAGAGAATGTGTACAATAAGAGAGTGGAAAACTGGATTAGGATTAATAAAGCTTCATCTGTCTTTTTCTTAAATTATTGTTCCATGACAAGCTTGAATAAATAAATTGTTGCCTTAACATTAATGTGAACAATTTGGGTCAGACTAAACATTATAATCTATTCAAGTAGAACCTCAGTCAAGCAATTATAGGCTGGAAATGAGATCAGATATGAAGATGTGTAACAGCTGTGTGACAGTGTGTCTTTGTTGTTAGAATATTCAGCAAAACGGTGAGCTATAAAATGTATTTTCTAGACACCAAAGTAGAGATTTTATTGTCTGTTAGTCAGTCCTCCTTTGTCGATGATATGAAATAAAACTCATTGTGTTTGTGAGTCGGCTTGTAGTTGAAGAGTGGGTGGTCCCAGTGGTATAGCAGATCAGGCACAGGTTGAGGTAGCTCGGGATCCGTGAGTGAATTTCCTCCAGCGCTCATAAATGTTTTCATTCTCGACACACACGGAACATCCTCCCCCTGAAGGGTTCTACCACCACTTCTCAAAGAGGATTCTGTCTTTCGGGAGTCCGAAGTCTAGGAGGGTTTTGGAAAGTGTTTCTATCATGGGCGGGGGTCCACACAGGAAGCACAAAGTCCTCTGCAGGTCCACGTGAGAACGCAGCTCCTCTTCTGTGATTCTCCCACCTGAGGAGACACAAGGGAAGTCAAACAATGAATCGAGGCTCAGCGCGGCGGCGGCACCTATTCCTCCCTCGTCTGCCATGTGGAGCTTTGATAGAGTCGTTCTACATGAAGAACAGATCCATCAACAGAGAGAGAAACGGTGGTAGAACGTGACAGTCAGTAAATCATCCCTGCTAACAAATAAAAGATATGCGTGTAGATATGTGCGGTTCGAGCATTACTTACGGTTGATAAAAGGCTGGAGGTGTGAGTCAACATCTGTGATCTGCTGCGTGACGTGGAGGTCACAGGAGAGCTTGTCGGGGAACTCCAGACACGCAGCGATGATGGAGCTCTGGGACCAACACAGGTCGTAGTTAGGGTAGAGTTTCTCTTATATAATGCATACTGGGCACACCTGCCCACGGATACAAGACAAACGCGTAGACACTGTTGTGTTTGTCTAGCTATATCGAAAGCTTACAAATAAATCCTCAAATTACTCACAAATATATTAGGAATATTAGTAATATAACTAGGAATAGGTAGTATATTGATACAACTGCATATTGTTCTACTTGAGATATAGTTAGTGAGAATATTGCAAACAACACATTTTTAAAGCCGCCGGCACAAAGGTTGCTTTGAGTTTTCTTCTCTAGATCTCTCCCTCACAGACACAAAATATAGATACTAAATAATAAATATAACAAACCATTAAAACAAACAAAATACTGCCTGAAGACTGTATTTCAGATGAAACAGAATATATATATTGTATGAAATCAAACTTAAAAAACTAGCATACTTATATAATAAACAGCTGTGTTCCCCTTTAAATTCAGCTACGTTTAATAGGATGATCCCACTTGTATAACCATATGCATCATAGAGTTAAATTAAACCGTATTTAAATTAAGAGAATACTTTATACATGTATGTTCCTGCATAGGTTAAAATATAATATATTATAATAGCCATGTCACCTAGACTTAATTCCAACAGTGAAAACCAACACACCTTGAAGAGCAGCTCCTGGGTGTTCTTGGCACTGTAGCAGAGGTGGGCGGAGCCTATGTTGAAGTCCCGCCCCCCAGAGGCCTGGTTGCGATGTAGCAGATCTGAGGTGTGCAGCAGGATGGAGTACAAGGGGTTGATCCCCACACCGCCCGCCACCAGCAGCAAATCAACAGAGGGGTCAGAGGGCGAGGGGTCGAAGAAGAAGTCCCCGCCGACACGCATGACAACCTGGGAGCCCACTGTACACTGAGGGGGGGGGGGGGGGGGGGGGGGAGAAGAGAGGCTGATAAGGAGAGAGCAGCAGACTGTGTTGACTGGTTAATTAAGTCCAAATATGTCTCTTTCTCAGCAGCTGAAATATAACTTTTGACTTAAATAAATACAGCATCGCTTCACCTACACTGAACACAAGCCTCAAGAAACAGACACTTTCAGTTCAGCGTGCAAACACACAACAAACCTCAGCTCAGTGTGGGGAAGAGAGATTTCACAAGTTGCGCAGAGAAAGCCCTTTGAAGTCAAAAAGAGCAGTAAATACGCCTTCATCTGCTTTTGTACACATGTGAGCACACACACACACATAATGATAATGCTTGCATTCTTAATCTGCTGCTGTGGTCCCTACACTATCCCTGCTCAGTGAGAGGAGTCAGAGCGCAGTATCAAACAAATGGATCATCAAACGATCCCGGAGCAGAGAGCTGTACGTCTCAGGATGCTCAAACACATCACTTCGCTTTCTGAGACTTATTAACACGAGGCGAAGAAGCTCAAAGCTATTTATTAGTCCCGTCATCAAACACAGAAGCTGCAAACAAACAGGCAGAAAAGTAGGAAAAGGCATTGTTCAAATTCAAACTACCCACTATTACTTTTTGAAGCCCAAATACAGTTAAGCACAAAGGACGTTTCTATATCTGTATTCCTTTTATCTATGTATTCACACAACCTGTATTTACCCTGTTTATTCACCATCTTTCCTAAGTTTGTAGCCACACTATGACTATTATTCTTCTGAACTTCTACGCAGGCAGTTTTCAAATTCGCTGACTCACTTTAAAGTGGACCTATCATGCTATATTTGAATAATATAGTGTAGGACCATACCTATATAAGGCATATTTATACTTTTTTTTTTTTTTCAAAATACCAAACAGATCATGCATTTTAGCCATGCCTCATTTCGCTCAATTTGCACTTTTTTAGCTCTGTTTTTGCAAGGGCTGATTCTGTGAGAACAGCACCACCTACAGGCCTGGCATATGTACTACAGCGTCTCCAGCGCTTTCGAATGGCAATGGCCGTGGCTGTCTCATCCTGATTGGTGGAGTTGGCCCAATAGCCGTAGCTCCACTGTCCTGACGTCAGGACAGTGTTCAAATCTGGATCAGTTTTTATCAGATCCGTTGCAGCCCCTTTTTTAGAGATTTGGGTATGGAGGAAAATAGAGAGGGTTGTGTTTTCTGACACTTGGTGAGTTCCCTGGAACACCGGGGACACATGTTCATGTATAAAAGACGTACAAAAGTGCATTTTGCATGATAGGTCCTCTTTAAGTAACCCTAGACAGCTGTTACGCGTGATGGAAAAACATTAGGGGTGATTTGGCTAACAGCACCTCAACAAAAAGGATGAAGCTGATTATGATTTATGTGAGTAAATGAACAATTGGGAGAGTATTGCAAGTTTTTAATGTAACTTTTTAGAACCGGCAAGGGCCGATTGCTTCTGCACGTCAGTACAATTAAATCATCTGACATTATCCTTTACAAAAATCACATTTCTAGAAATACCAGTGCTGCGAATGTGTGGCTGGAGTCTTCATTTCGCAACTCTATAACATTTTTAGCATTTCCAAACACCCACTCCTTCTCTTCTGCATCTCACTTTGACACTTTGTCCCTCATGCATACACAAAATAATCTTCCAAACCATTAGATAGCAATCTGACCAAATGTACTTTACTGAAATATTTTAACTTATAGGAAGCAATCTTTTCCCTGGAAAATGACCACTTACTCTATTTCTGATACACAATATCATATCCTGCTTTCTGCCCACTCACCATGGTGTGGACCCAGTGTGCGGGGGGGTGTTTTGCGTATTTGATGGCCAGCTCCACGATGCCCTCCCTCTGCAGCAGACCCGGGCCGGAGCACATGGAGAAACCTCCCACCTTCTCCACGCCGGGGATGAAGAGATCCACCCTGCACACACCACCACAAAACACACACATGAACCCACCCATTTGTTCCATAATTGGCTGTTTAAACACATGCTTATCCATGTATAGACTAAAACCATGTATTCTCAGGGGTTAGAAATTTGCTCTTGTTCTTGTAACATGGCAATTCTGAGTCTGACCATGTGTGGTACCTGTAATGCAGTATAGTAGATAGTTATAGCTGTTAAAGTGAAATGTATATACTGTATATTTAACCTTAATACATAAAATATCTGTATACATGTTCATTCAACTGTTCAGATTTTAACTTGTGTCATTTTTATTATTTCTATTCACACTGTTACTACATGTTTAATCTTAATTTGTTTTTTAATATTCATTTTTATATTCTTATTATCCCATGTCTACTATCTGTCCGTCTGTCTTATTCTGTTTCCGACACCTACATTTCCCTACAGGGATCAATAAAGGTCAATCTTATCTTATCTTGGAACATAACATCAATTGTTTTATTTCAGCCATTTTTGTCATTTCTGTGTTCCTAGACAAAGACATTCTTATAGGAAATATAGTTGGCTTTTCAGATTATTACAAAGGTTAATTGAAGAGTAGAAAACAAGTTGGACTGAGGGTCAAAGTGTGAATGAAGTTAAGGTGGTGCCCTTTGACCTCAGTGAAGAGGGCAGCGTGTTTCAGAAACCAAAGCAGAACAAAACCAGACCAGATGCAGAGTTGCCTTTTAGTCTTTTCAAAATGAAACGTCCCAGTCTCTCACACAACGTGGTCGCATCTGTCCGTCAGCGAGCGGTCAGCATTGCTGTTCTCCACTCCCAGAGGAAAACAGCAATGCTTAACAGTCAGGCTAATGTTCCAACAACACAAAGAGCCACTGTTACACATGAGAGAGAGACTCCACAGCCCTCGGAGGCATCATAAATATGGATCTGCCGCACACATATGTTCCACCCACCTCCTTCTCCTCATCCTCCTCCTCTCCCACCTGGAGACGAGCAACTAAACAGTCTCTTTTCCTCAGAAACATTGAAACCCAATTATTTCCATACTTTAACATTCATTGTGAGTTGCTACGGAGCAACTGGCTGCTGGTTTAATGTCTCACCACCGCCCACCTACAGTATGGGTGCATGTACATATACTGCATGTGGAGGGTCCTAATTAACATTGGCAACACTGACTGACAAGACATAGAAAAAAAAGCTATGCCTTCAAGATGAAGTACTTAACTTGCTATTAGGGATAATGAGAGTCAATGAAGATTATCTTGAAAACTAAACCATTTTCAAATGTTTTGCAGAAGTCAAAAACAAGACACTGTGCCTCAAATATCTTTCAAGTGCATAAACTATTACCTACATACAGTATTATTTATGAGCAAACTTGTTAATTAAGTCCCCAACTATATTTGGTTGCTTATTTGAGTTAAAGCTTTAAATAATTCATGAACTTTCATCCTTCCTTTAGCTGATGAAATATATATCCTGAAAACACATTTTTCTTATAGACAGTGACCTAGAACTGGTTTACAGGTATGCTGTCATGTAGAATTGTAAATTCCTATTAACTGTAAAAGTTTTGGAAGGACTAATCCAACACAATGCCGCCACCTTGTGGTTACCATGAGCGCTACAGGCGAAATCCAGAAGGATGTTTCATAACGTTTTTAAAATGTTGGTTTGAATTTAGATTCTGATTTGAAGTGAACAGAGACTCTGATAACAGAGGCTTATGTAGATCATCGAGCATGTGTCGCTTGAAGGTATCATTAATGATATTTTTTTAAATATCAGGTGAAGGTGCATGTGGTATTATGGTACTGTTCTCTGGAAAAATAATAGTCTGATGACCTGATATAACTGTATTTTCTTTTAAAACATAGATTTTCTCTCGAGTCTACTCACCACTGTCCTGCTTTGAAGCTGAAGTCTGGGGGAACAGCTATTCTCAAACGTTTCACCGTCTCCGACTCGTTAATGATGCCACGTACTTCAGCAGGATACATAGCCTAAGTAAGGCAACACACAGAACAGAGCAGAGTTTATAAACCTAGGATGGGATTTCTCATCAAATTCTACTGCTAAAAAGTGGCACAAGTAAAAGATAGTGAATATCAATCGGAAAAAAAATTAAAATATGAACTTACATTTTGTCTGTTGTTGCCCGCTGTTCTCTCTAGATGGTCCATCTTTCTTTTTGAGGACATGTTTCTTTTAAAACAAAGGAAGTAGTTTAAAGTCAAACATTACACAGTGAGTGAAGAGCCACATGACATCACATTCAGAAACTGCAAGTGGAATTTGCCCTTTCTGCCAGAGAGCAACAATAAACCTAAAAGGGCCAGTGCACCTAAATTACAACTCACAACTAGCTGTGTCTAGCCATGGAGATAGTTTTAGTTTCATGTGCTTGAGTTTAGACATGATTCACACTTATGCTGTTTCCCTGATATAACAAAAGCAAATAGCCTTTTGTTTGTGGGGCTCTTAGCATTAAAACATACAATTGATTTTCTTCTAACTATATGGGGTGGAGACAAATGTCTGAGTAGACGATATCTAAAACCTCAACACATAAAATCCAAAAGCAACATACATTGTAATAATTCTATATGTTTAATTACTTATACAATTTTATAAATATACGCTTGCCTCTTTAATTAATATTTTACTCTACTTGTTCTTATTTTTCCATTACACTGTCCCCTTTGCTGTAAGAATGTAAATGTTAGAATAAAGACTTCTGATTCTGATGTTTGACAATATAGTCCTTAAAGTAAGTAACCCTTTAAGTAAAAACACACTTTTACAATAACTAACAAGCATTCTCCTGGATAAAGACGCACTATAGCTACCTTGTTGTCAGTCCCCACAGTGCTTCAGGAGTGAGTAGCCTTAGTAGTAGAACACAATGAAGCCCCAACAAACACAGCTGGTACCTTCCAGAGTAAACTCACCTTGTGGCCTGGCTGGGGCCCAGCAGCCGGCAGCAGAGCGGCCCGGCGGCGGGAAACTGGAGGCTGAAGCTCCGGGCTGCGAAGGACCAGAACCCGGGGACTCGCATCTCTACCTGGGCTGACATAAACGAAGAGAATTTAGCAAAAACTTTTTAATTCGCACTTGGAAAAAACACAATCATTCTCAGTTCATTTTCCTTCCGTATGATCAATAATTAAGTCTTTTTAAGTTACAGCAGCTGTCATCCAACTTAACCCCCGAACAATGCGGTGTGAAAACGTCACCAAACTCACAGAATAATCTAGTATTCAAGTCAGGTAAACGCCCAGAAACCTTTCTCATTATTTCACTTATTTAAGTTACTTGAAAAGACCCTTTCTCTGTTGTAGATTATTGTTGTTGTTTTTTGTAATTTCTATCTTTGTAAACCGTTGATTTTTTCTATACTGTGTATGTGTAGGCCTAGACTATTCAATGTTCAAAAATACTTGCTTTAAATGTTGTACATTGTCAGTACATACAGCTAAACTGACTAATTTAAGATGACTAAAGACTTAAGTGTTACTCATAATTTCATAATCTAAACTGATGTTTTTTTACATGACGAGAATGACAGGAATAAGAAGTCAAAATGGTGACATATTGATAAAAAGCCAAAAGGTATAATAGTGATTTATTTGTGTGTGACTTGACCTCCCTCGTCACTTTGATGGTTAGCTCACATGCTAAACCTGTTAGCATTCCGAAGCCGGTTTGTATTTTCACACAGACACATAACTCTATAGGAAACAACAAGCGGCAGAGAGGCTTTATATCTTACCGAGATAAGACGATGTCAAATGGTATTCATATTTATCTTCGTTATAACCTTGTATAATAAGCTTACTGTTACATGACTATACAGTAGTAACTTCTTCTTCGTCTTCTTCTTTGAGGTTGTACTACAGCTGGCGTCTTCTTCTACTAGATGAGTCGATTTGCATTCAGTTTGTCGCAGTAGCGCCATCTTTTGGAGCATGGACCACCCCACCAGACTGCCCACTCTTTCTTATCATTTGCAATATCTTTCAAATATAAGTGTATTCCTTAAAACCCATTCACAGTATTACACATTAAGTTGAAAGTAGAAACAACTACTAGAATTCCATTAAAACATTTTCAATTCATGCCATTTTAGACATTAATCTAGGATGTCCCCTCTCTTTCATTGATCAACAGTCATTTTTCTTTTGGGGGAATTGTATGCCTTGTTTGTTAAGAGAGATTCAAAGCCACAGAAATCCTCAACATGCTGTAAAATGAGCTGCTAAAACCAAGCCTAGATATGAGGCTCCATAAAGAAATGCAATGTTAGTGTTGATTCTTCCCTATTGACACCAGGATTGACCTAAAAAAGAAACATTAACAGTGTAAGAGAGGCACAGATATAATAACAATAATACATTATATTCTTTCCAAAATTCAATGTCACCTTACAAATAAAATATGAGTGGCAATACAATACACAAATGTGTTGCGTAGGAAACCACAGAGGAAAATAACAGTCAAAGGAGCAATTCAAGTGAGTAAAGCCAGTTAGAACATATTCGTTTAGGCTTGATTTCAAATAACACATTGTCAGACTGTGTGACTATATGTTATATCATTACTTATCATTTTTTAATGAATTTTGTATTCGTGATTATAATATATCAGACACTGAACTGAAGTAATGATATCACATATGATATATCAGACACTGTGTTATTTCAAATCAAGCCTAACAAATAAATAGTTCAAACTGGCTTTACTCACTTGAATTGCTCCTTAGAATGTAATTTTCCTCTGTGGTTTTCTATGCAACCATTTTTTTATTTTAATGCCGCTCGTAATTTATTTATTTGTGTATTGTAAGGTGACATTGAATGTTTTGAAAGGTGCCCTCAAATAAAATGTATTATTGGTACTTAACTGTGCCTCTCTCACACTTAATAGGGAAGATCTGCATGGTTCTCTACAGCCCATGTTCAGCAGAAAAAAAAACCCCCACTATAACTTTGTCCAAGATAGTCGTACTGTCACCAAAATCACACTGGTGTTTGCTGTCCCCCTCTAGTTTGTGCACATTAAAGCATTTTACTCTGGGCCCAGCAGGTGAAAAACTAAAGAGGGGCTTCCACATGTGGCAGACCAGGCGTTGGTGCTGCCGGATTTGGAAACCCCACTATAACTTTGTCCAAGATAGTCGTACTGTCACCAAAATCACACTGGTGTTTGCTGTCCCCCTCTAGGTTGTGCACACAAAAGCATTTTACTCTGGGCTCAGCAGGTTAAGAACTAAAGAGGTTTTTTTTTTTAAAGTGATGTATTTCATTCTTATTTTCATCACTTTTTTTTGGTTTTAGTATAAAAAAATTATCATATTAAATATCATCATATCTTTTTTTTCCAGGTTAGTTTTTAAGATTGTATTACGTATTATGTTATTGTTTTTATTTAATTAATTTTATTATCATTTTATTTTTGTTTTATTTGTATTTTACTTTTTTGGGCCACATCTTTTTTCAAGCCTCGGTAACTTTCCAACTTTACCAAACTTCAATATTTTTTTTCCCGTTTGAAAAAACCCTTTTTCTTGTGTTTATTTATTCCTGTATTTACTTCCACATTTATTTATTTATTTCCACATTTATTTGCACATTTATTTATTCTTGTATTTTTGTATTCCTGTATTTATGCATTTATTTATTTTTTACTTATGTCTTGTTCTGTCCTCCATAAATGTGTGCTCATCGTGTGCATAAAGGTAAAAATTCACTCAAAAATCATAACAAAACCTATAGGGCGTTCATTATTTAAAAACACATTGGTGGTCCAGAGGTCTATGCATTGGTTTTTCATGCAGGTGCTCGAGGTTCAACACCCAGGGGATGGACATATTTTATCTCCTGCTATGCTGATGTTAAATCTGGAAAAATTGTACCCACCACTTTTTCTAACCAAGTGACTGATACCAATACATTCTTGTTAGCTTAAAATATTAGCATGTATGTATAACCCCTCCAAAAAGTGTATTTTATGATACCCTGAAGTGATTATCAAGATGTAATCTGTCTCCATCTGCTGGTCAAATAACAACTTGCTATATTGGGATGAAGATGTGAGAACTCTGCTCAGGATTCTAATGTACTTTGGTGAAGCTGGTAAACAAGTTGTAAAAATGGTCAGATCTTGCACTCAGACCCTCCTAATTTAGCCCAGTTTTTATATCCAGCTTGATATTCTAAATGTTATAGTGAGCACTTTTTTATGTGATAAAAGTTTAGTCATTGATCAAATATTGCTTCACTATTAGTTGTTGGGAAACAGGTTTGTAGATTAGTTCAACGTTTGTAACTTACACCTGGTGTGGCTCTGTAACTATGTGAACATAAATAAGTAAATGTTGCATAAAAAGTTCAAGGTTTCTCACTCTACTAGTTTCAGTTGGAGGGTCAATCAGTAACATTAGGTGGCATGTTTCCAGGTTGCACTAAAATTGGTTAAATAATGTCCTTTTTGAAAAATATTTCACGACAAAGGCTACTTAAGACACTTTAGACAGCATGTATTTATAAAAATCTTCAACTATGTATCGGAACATGATTAGTTGTCATGCTATATATTGGACAATGCTTTATCTAACTTTAAAACGGTTTACAATGTGTTTGTTGTTAAATGTGGGTATTTCGGAAGTACAAAAAAGGTGAGGCCTGAGTACTTGATGCAAGCCTTTGTGCTTGTGTTTCTTAACTTCTGCAGTAACAAGGAAATGTTAGCTTTAAAAAATAGAAGAATCACAATGACAAGCCTCCAACGTTAAGGCGTAACTTACTAGTTTATGTTAGGGGAGTTTTGGTTTAAAGGTAAGTAATATTGGATAATGCAGTTTCACATAAGTCACGCAATTGTGTGGGTCAAGGTTAAGTGTTTATTAATCAATAAGGCTCCTTATAAGAAGAATAGTACACCAAATGCGTGTGTGTGTGTGTGTGTGTGTGTGTGTGTGTGTGTGTGTGTGTGTGTGTGTGTGTGTGAGTGCGTGCGTGAGTGAGTGCGTGCGTGCGTGCGTGAGTGCGTGCGTGCGTGCGTGCGTGCGTGCGTGCGTGTGCGTGTGTGTTTGTGTGTGTGTGTTTGTGTGTGCATAGCTGCATGTTTATGTGCTCTTTAGTTTGTCAGTCTGGTATGAAAATTGTATGAGAGAGACACAAAAACACAAAGGAAATGGCCAGTAAATTGAGATTCCTTTCTGCATTCCTGAAGGTTTCATCTTAAGTGTCTGTGGTTAGGCTCCGGTGAGTTTCAGAGGCTTTACTCACCGTTTAATAACTCAACAAATCAAACCAACACATAACTCGGCCTGCTCCACCCAAATTATTGGGAAGAGACAACAGTCTATTTGTTTAGTAGGTACCATTCCTTCTATCTTTTGACCTCTAAACCATCAGCTTTTGTCTGTAATACATGCATTGTTGACCTGCATGGTAACCAGTGTTTGAAGAGGCCTTTAGTGTTTGTGCTTTGAGAGAAGGCCAGTAAACCAGGTCTGGCCTTATTGTTTTCCTTAGATACAGTAGCCGCTCACTTCCTCTGAGAGGTTTTTGTAAGCTGACTCAACCAGTCCAACTGGCTGCCTTCCTGTCCCTTTTCCCATGGTTAGCACGCCTCGGCTCAACCTGTTGTTCAATGCTGCACAATGACAGATATGTTCAGGTTTATCATGTCCCAAGGACTTAGCCAACTAGTCTCATACGCACATGGCACATGTTTGATGCAAGCACACTAGCGTCATCGCACACCAAATCACGACCGTAGACAGGCGCACGTATTTTGAAGTGTGCGCACCTGACTCAACATACGTTTTTATGCATGGTTCAGTGAGTCATTTTGGGTTTAGCTTGCTTCTAATTTTGTCTCAGCTTAAGAACCTGTAAATAGCAACTGAAATGATGCAGCCATTTTGAGATTTTTAAACAATTATTGACGTCTATTGCATGTTGGTAATAACTGATATCCAGTTACAAACAATGAATAAAAGTGTGCCAGTACCCATCAGGCTCCAGAATCAAGGATTGACCCCTCATTACAACTTTTTGCAACCAGCACCACTGGTACATGACTTGTACCATATGTACCTACTTGGCCTCGCACGTGCACACTTGCACATAGACGTTATCAAGGGTGTAACTTTGGTTTGAGAAGTGGGGGGGACACAAAACAGGGGGTCCTCCGCAATGAAATATTTTCTCAATTTAATTCCATTTCCTGCCTTTCTACAAATATATTAGGGACTATAGTGTTAACAAATCCAAGAAAAATGTGTAGTGTATATAATGAGTGTGCACACTTATCTAGTATCCTATCCATGTGAACCTGTTTTATTTGTGATTACCTGACATCCTCTAGGGGGGTCCGGGGGCATGCACCACGGGAAGATTTGTTTCTTTAAATTGAAGTTGAATGCATCAATCTGGTGCACTTTGAGGGCAACATTAAGAGATTTATGGATACAGTTCTCAACACTCATATGAAACAGAACTGTATATATTTCAATAATCAAAAGCCATTAGAATATGCTCACAACCAATAACAAATCATTGATAAACTCCTCTCTCCTATCTTTATCTTACCTAGTCTGCATTTTTTTCTTTTTATTTATGCATATTTGACTAATCACTCCCCTTTCAAACTGTGTTTTTTATTTGTGTACTGACCTATAGTACACATTGGAAGGATTTCTTAACTTATTTTATATACAACTATATATTACATAGATGGAAATATTTGTTTACATAGATGACCAAACCGTTTGAGACCCACTGAGATAACTAGACTAAAGTTTACAACCTAATCACTCAGAGAGTCCTTTACCTCCCTGAGCTGACGTTATCTCTCTCAGTCCGACAGGAGAGGACTCTCCCTCTCCTTATTGTTGAAACAGCTTCTAATCTCCGTTAGCTCCGAGCTAGCACCAGATGCTAACAACAACCCACGTAACTCTCTCAGTCTCTCTCTCTCTCTCTCTCTCTCTCTCTCTCTCTCTCTCTCTCTCTCTCTCTCTCTCTGTCTCTCTCTCTCTCTCTCTCTCTCTCTCTCTCTCTCTCTCTCTCTCTGTCTCTCTCTCTCTTCTATTTCTCTCTCTCTCTCAGTCTCTCAAAGTCCGACAGGAAAGAGCTCTCCCTCTCCTTATTGTTGAAACAGCTACTAATCTCCATTAGCTCCGAGCTAGCACCAAATGCTAACAACAACCCCCGTAACTCTCTATGTCTCTCTCTCTCTGTCTCTCTCTCTTTCTATCTCTCTCTCACAAGATGCGCTCGTGCCACACACACACACACAGACGCTCCTCCGTGACGATGACCGCTTGCGTAAAAAAAAAAAAAAAAAATGTTTTAAAGTGGGGGGGGGGGACACAAATGGGATTTTGAAAAGTGGGGGGGACATGTCCCCCCTGTCCCCAGTGGAAATTACGCCCATGGACGTTATATATATTTATTATCATATTGATAATTATTCACATCTGTCAATATGTTAACAGAATGGCTCCTAATTATATTGTTGTCATTTTATTTCATGCTGTTACTTGTTTTTTTTAAATATTTTATTATTATTGTCCCTTTGTGTACTCTTACCTGCCCAATCCTGTGTTTTATGATCCTTTGCTGTTGCTATGACACCTGAACTTCTCCACGGGTATCAATAAAGACTTATCTTATCTTATCTTATCTTACAGTTTTGGTTCTTGTATCTACTATTGATGTGATATTATCCTTGACACCTCCAAATGTTTGTTATTGACTCAGTTCATAGCATCTTGAGCACATGAGAGTAACATTGCCTTTGTTTGTTGTGCTGGTTCACCATCAAAGCTGGGAGAACAAACGGTGCAATCAGAAACGGATACAGCTGGAGGGTATCCCCTTATACAACCTCTGCTTCAATATCTCTCTACAACGTCACTTTGCTTTCTACACACATTCTCAACATGCCTCTCAGTCTCACTGGGCAAATGCTCAAATGTCACACTGAGGAAACCCTTGTGTCAAAACTGGAACATGTTCAATGAGAAATATAGTCTTGGGGGTGAAAGGATTGATGTTATTGTAATTGTGCAACTGTATCTGAAAGATCTTTGTATGGATGTTTTTCTCTACCTCGCCTGGTTGAAGTTAATGATCAACTTTCAGTGAGACTACCTGGGGATTGTGGAAGGAGACGCAGATTCGGAGATATGGGACCGAGAGTTAAAGAGGAAATGCAAAAGTGAGACTTGTTATGATAAGATGACATCCTGAGATTGCGATTCTGTTTAGTCCAGAAGAAGTTTTATCCATGTGGGTTGATGGTAAGTGTTAAAGCAGGTTTCACTTTAATTTTGTCTTAATTGTTCTTGGGCTTTGGGAAACACTTTATGGGCATATATTTGCTATTTTTATAACTTTTAGGACCAATATATTGATCCAGATAAAAAATAAATGTAATAATTGACATTGAACATAAACATTAGTTGCAGCCCCATAATGTTAGTATTAAGCATCTTCTGTGTCCTCTCATGTGGAAATGTGTTGAAATGTGTAATTGAGTGTTCATTGCATTCATGCTTACCTGTATGTGTGTAGAGTGAGGAGTGACTCTGCAGAGTTTCGACTGGGATGGGAGATGGAGAGGGTGTCCCCCAGGTATGCAGGCCACCAGATGCTGAAGGAGAAACAGCGCACATTCCTTCATCAACTTTCACTCTAAACTTTAGTGGAGCGAGATAAAAGGCATTCCCTGATTCCTCCCTCCTCTCTCTGTTTCTGTCTTCCTCCGTTTCGATGATGAGACTCAGACCGGGTCTCGTGTTGGCACTGATCCACACAGAAACCACTTGGGATTCCAAAGGCACACCAAGAAAAAGAGCATACTGTCATATAGGAGATACCATTTAAACAAACTCTTTGACACGTGGCTTTTAAAGAATAGAACGTTTCAAAATGAAAGATAGTACTAGTTGTGATGCGTTTTAACACTAATATGAATGTCTGAAAGCCCAAGGCGCATGTACGTATATTGTAAACATGTGATTGTGTTTGAAGGGTGGACTTTGCTTGAGAAAGTTCCTATTTTAAGGAGGTTTGTATTACTGAGACGTTGCAGCTTTCCATTATAGCTATGTGTTGTGTTTTCTTGTTTTTTTATGATAGGGCATGGACAAAGTTCTTTGTTATAACATTTTATATTGTGTTTTATGCAATAGGACTTTTGTTCATTTTAATACAAACACAGACTTAAACTGTTACAATGATTTAACTGGCTTCCGCTTTTTCATAAAGCAACTTTTTGAATATCCATCCATCAAAAGGAATAGTGGAAAGTAAACTGCAGCTTGTCATCACCAGCCTCCAGCATGAGGGATGCTTTGTCTCTATAGCTTTGGAGTTCATCAGAAAGACAGCTCAATAGGCCATGGTGGAAAATAGCTGAAGGGCAGGTGTACAAAAAGTATTTATATAGATGTTGTGGTGGAAGAAATGTTCAAACCGTTTACTTAAGTAAAAGTGTCAATGCACAGTTTCGACAGCTAATTAGCAGAAAATGCTAATAATGGCCCGTAGGATCATATGAAATATTGTTTTATTTCCTAATTAATATTGATGCACTAATGTGAAAGTAGCATTTTAATTAATAAATAATATGGTCTAGGTTGATCTAAGTATAGCACTTTCCACAACTATCATTATTATAATCACCATAGTGAGTAATTAATAGCCTATGACTGTATGCCAGCTTATGAGAGAGTGAGAAACTTATGACCTTCATAATACAGGTCATATGTTTCTCAATCTTGCAAACAGGCTGTATTCATGTAAGGACTATTGCTACTTCAAACATAAAAAGGTACGAAAAAAGGTGAGTAGACGTGTTTTTTCTCAACATTGCAACCCAGAAGTTCTATGTAACATTTGTACATGATCTTTTAACAGTTAATGTGTTAGATAATGGTACTTCATGATGTAAATGTAATATACAACCAGTTCAGCATTTTCAGTCATTAAGGATATTCAAAACTGAGGATTGGCTTCTTTCAAAGATTGAGGCCACAGTATATGTCTATATTTCTGGATGTAACTAAGTATATACTTGGCTGTAGAGGACGCAGCATGTTGAAATGTCCTGGTTATTACTTCTAACAGACAGGAAGTCAGACAGACAGGCATGAGGACTACATACAGTACAGCTGACATGGACTTGAATGAAGGCCGGATGTGCGACCAGCAGAAGCTTCCAGAAGAATCATGCAGGACAAGGAGCCTGGAAGGTGAAACCGGCACCAGGCTAAACTGCTTCCCCTCACTTAACGTGAATTTACAAAAGCAACAATTGCACGTTTGGTGCAGTAATGCAACTTCAAGAAACTCCTGACTTCTTCCTGTTGCACACCCCCTCTATGTCAACACAGGTTCTCATTTAAACCATGTAACCTACCTGCTGCTGAGTAACCTACAACAGTGGTGTTAAGTAACTAAGTACATTTACTTAAGTACTGTACTTAAGTATAATTTTGAGGTACATATTTCTATTTTATGCTACTTTGTACTCCTACTCCACTACAATTCAAAGGGGCATATTATACTTTTATTCCACTACATTTTCGTAGTAGCTACCTTTAGTAACTTTGCAGATATAGATTAATGATAAACATTAGGATCAACAATTGAAAAATACTTAAGATACACCTGGATTCAATTCACATTCTGCCCAGGAGTAAATAAAGTAGATTACATTATTTCCATCAATACATCAATATATAACCAAAACATGATATATATCATTCTGAAAGGGGCCGAATCTGCTTAATGAGTACTTTTGGTACTTTAAGTATATTTAGATGCCAATACATTTGTACTTAAGTAACAGTTTGAATACAAGACTTTTAACAGAGTATTCCTACACTCTTGTACTTCTACTTTGACGTAGAATACACGATCTGAGTTTCTTCCCCTCCTGCATTTAAACCATGTAGTTTACAGCTGCTGAGTAACCTGCAACGTATTTAGATCGGTCGCTATTAATACCATTAATTGAGTGAACATCACTGTCCCATTCCATTCCTTTGTGTGTACAGCGTAGGCCGACACTACACGCCATTGTGGCCTAAACTGCTGGGCGTCCAAAGTTGGAGCATGATTTGGCTCCCTTTCTTGGGTTGGGTTCTGGTGATACAAAGGGCTCTTTTTTTAATCTGTCACTGAAGAAGAGCACGCTCCCATGGGGTATGTTGCCTCGCAACGACAGGCCCCGCCTACCATCGCAGTGTATTCACCTGAGCTGGGTCACACGTGACACAACCTGCAGGCTCATCCAATCAGGAGTGAGGACAGGTGCTCCGCGAGAAGAGTTTCGGAGGCGGAAACCTGCTGGGTCAGTGAAAGAGAGCCTCTCCTTATAAATGTGTCAATTCATGTGTACTATTCTCAAGAAACAGCAGAAGTAGAAGAGTATTTGACGAGAGCAGCTAAAGAAAATGAAATGTTTTGGAGGTGGCGTTGAAATGGATACTGCTGCGACCCCTTGAAGGACTGCTGTCACACAGTTGTTGTCCACCACTGAAAAAGAAGACGACACTGACCTGTCCTGTGGATTTATATCTCAGAACAATCATAAGTGTAACATTTACACTTTGCCTCGGGTCGTTTTGAGTGTCCACACACTTTACTGCACTCCTGTAGCTCAGGTGAGTTTTCATGAGAGCTTTTTTTGCGCATTGTCCATCTGTGAATCACGGCTTGGGTTTGTTTATCTGTCCCTACCACTCATTAAACCAGTTATACAGAGAAGGTGAACATGGTTACACTGGTTATTCTGAGGAGTAGCTGGTGAGAAGTTGTGTCAGCTGTGGAAAATGTTACAAGATAGCAGGTCATATTTAATCATATTCAAATTGAGCAAAGGGCCAAATTATGATGTCCAAACAGATAATATGAGTTTTGTATATCATAGGATCAAGATGTATGATGATGTGTGAGTTATATTTTATAACATCAAAGACATGCCAGTTTTGCGGAGTTTTTAAGTAATAATTAGATATATGGATTGGCAATATGGCCAAGATCTTCTAATACAAAACAGGTATCACAATATATCATGTTTCTCTGGTTATTTGATAAAAAAATTGTCTATTTGAAATAAGCACAGGGTAAAGCTTATTTATGTATACTTCTGTCTGACTAAATACTTGACAAATGAAAAGTACTGAATATTTTCTCATGAGGAGAACTTTAGTGCACAATAAGCAACAACGGTGAAGCTATACCTAGTTGAACCCACAATGGAAACCAAATAGAGAAATATTTACAATACACATATTTGTACAGTTTTGACTATATAAATCGTCATATAGCTCAGTCCTATTTGATGTTTTATGGGAAATTAGGATATTTAGAAGCCAGTTTAGAGCATGAAGATCAAATGACCTCAAAATAAAATGACAGCTCTTAAAATAAAACTGATGCAGAGGAGAAGATCTCAACTAAAATACTGATGGCATCTGTTCCCCATTCCAGCATCCTCCCTCCAGTCCAAGATGACAGAGAGGATCCCATGGTGGAAGGCATTCCTGCCCAAGAAGAAGAGTGGAGGCCCCAAGGACACACCCCACTCCCTTGACCAGGACTTTGACCCCTTTGCACAGCAGCCCGAGAAGCAGAAAGACCCAGCAGCCTCCAAGCCTGCAGGAGACAACCTCCAAGGGTCCAACAAGGGCTCCAGCCTCCTCAGCGATGACACCTACGATGACTCCCACCTGGAGTCGGTCTTCAACGAGCAGACATGTCGCAGGAATATGAATGTGTCACGCTCGGGTCGATTTAAGGAGAAGCGGAGGGTGCGCTCCAGCCTTCCTATACAGGACAATGAGACATAGAAAGTGTCATCAAGGAGAGAGGTGATGGTGAGGAAGGAATCAAAGACTGCTGTATAAAAGATACCTGAAGGAAAGGAGAGGGCTTTGAGTTTCATGAAGATGCTTTCTTCTCTTGAAGCAGCCAACCAAGAGGTCTGCTGTATGTTGGTTACCGGGCGAGGAGCATTCAACTTTTAGCCCCAAACTGCAGAAATGAAGTTATTTGGTATATGACATATTGGAAATGTGGACATTTTCGTCGACTGACTTATGCCAGCAGGCCACAGAAACTATGAAAGGTGACTTGAAGAGGATCATATTTGTGTTTCATGATGGTTATGGAACCATAATAATAATAACCGCCAATAATATTGAATAATCAAAGCCCAAAAAAGGAAATATTATGAAATTGATGTAGGCACTTGTGACCTTAATATGTAGTTTATGTCCCACAGTGTCACATTTCCAGTCATGGACAATGTAATCATTGAAAGAATCTTTAAAAAACCTACAAACTTCTAAGAAAACACATTCCTCAAATCCAATTGTCTGTCAATACTGAAGTGTAAGTGTGATATGCTCAAGAAAAAAAATACTGTTTATAAGATGTTAACATTATTTCTATGATGCAAATAATATATGTTTGATAATGAAGGATAAGTATAATGTTCCTTTTACAAAAAATGTTGATTCAAAAGGGTTAGAAGGATATTTATGAGGGTGTAAAATGATTTTATAATTATGTTTGACACACAATATCACTGTGGAAGAAATTAAACATAAAAAATGTTGAATGAAGGATGAAATCCAGCATGTTGTTTGACATCATGGGTCCAAAACAAACTACAGACTATGAAGTAAGAAGCTAGCGTTGTGATATCCATGTGAATGAGATATATGGCCGTGTAGCTGAAGAAGTATGGTCCAGGTGTAGTTTGCTTTGCAGGATTACTGTATCTTGGACCAACTGTGAAAACTTAAATGAAGGCAAAAATATGAGAAATAAATCTGATAACTGCGTGCATGTGTGCTTCATTATCCTATTCAACCACAATCTAATTAGTAAACTTGGACAGGGCAAATATAGCTTTGTGTTGTGTTGGAAAAGGTGTCTTGATATTGCTGCTAAATCTAAAAAAGGTAACTTATTTTACAGTTTAAGGATAACATAAAAATCACCCAAAAACATGAAATAACCTCAAAGTAAAACAGATTGTAAACAGATTTCGTATCACATCTTGTCAGTCGTGTTAGTGCCACGTCACTATTTGACTTGAGACGAGGAGGGTGGGGGTTAAAGTGTATTTATAACATAGTCTGAAAAATGCAATTGCACAGGATTAGTGCCATTTAAATGTGGCGTCTGCAGTGTGTGTCAAACCAAAGTTCAAAGGGAGCCTGTGTCACTGCATTCCTCTTGAGGTGTGTGTGTGTGTGACCAGGGCATTTATGCAAAATGTTATGACGCATCATGCACCATGCGTCAATCATTTCACATGTAATGCATTAATACCATTTCATTATCATATTTTAATGAATTTGCCTTGAGTGAAAGACATACTTTGATATTAGTTAATGCACACCCTTGAAAGGATGACTTGTAATGTCATATTGTAACACAAGGGGGCAAAAATGTGCAATGAAACAGTCGAAAAATAGAGTTTAGTAGAACTAAAATCTACTTAAATGTCATTTAAAAAAATCCATAAAGGAATACGTTGTTACTGGACAGCCATGTGTTTAGCTTATCAATACAAGCAGTTATCATGATCTTGATAATGCCTACTTAATTTTTATTGGTGTAAAGTAACTAAGTAATGTAGTTAAGTACAATTCTGAGGGATTTGTACTTTACTTAAATATTTCAACGTTTTGCTACTTTGTACTTCTTCACTTCAATTTAGAGGTAAATCCTGTACTTTCACTCCACTTAATTTATTTATTATCTTTAGTTACTTTGCAGGTTTGGATTAATAATGATAATTTAGACAACACTTAAGACTTAGCTTACACCTACAGTAACATTCACAAGTTATCCTGCAGTAAACAAAACCAGATGCACCTTTACTATACATTAGATTAATGCATCAATAATTGTATTCATAAGCTTTATATTATTCTGCATAATGAGTACTTTTGGTATTTTAAGTTTATTTGGATGCTTATACTTTTGTACTTTTACTTGAGTAACCTTTGATTGCAGGACTTTTACTTGTACAGAGTATACCTACACTCTGGTACTTCTACAAGATCTTCTCCCATCTCTATATTTCACACAGGTGTAGGGAAAGTTTCTTGGGAGCATGAATTGAGTCGATGACACGGTCCTCCCTCTGCCTCCTCATTGGTCCCGTGCTGAGTGGGGGGGTCGGTGAGGTGTGGCCGCGCGCTGCTCGCCTCCTGCAGCGCGCTCACAGTTTTTCAAATAGAGCCAGAAAGAGACCATCGTGCACGACCACTTTCACTTGTTTTCTCTCAGTGTGAAGTAAAAATAAAACGTTCTGTTAGTTTTGAAACGCTTCCTCAAGGTTTAGCGCAACGGCCGGATCAGTGGTGTCCTCATTGGACTATAAATAACTGAGGGGGGTGCACTATGAGGACACTGTGCTGTGGTCCACCTCACTGAAGCTGTCCCTGCAAACAGGTGGATTTGGGATATTTCAAGAAGGTAAGACAATCCTGGTGATCTTGTGTCTGACTGTCTGGGGTTTTTTTCTTCTGCAAAACTGTCTGATGACATGTGTAAACGTAGGACATACCATGACATCACAATGAACTGTTTATCTTAACTCCTTGTTTTGTTATTGTCTCTCCAAAGACATGGTTCATCAAGTTCATCTTACTGTCAAGGCATTCTTGTTTTAGTGGAAAGGTATTCAAGCTGCATATCATTCCCACAGTGCAGTTTAAACTATAAAACAATGCTTAATATTTATACACTATTTATTTAGCTATTTTCAAGTTTCAAAAGAAAAAGGTTTTAGAAAGAAAAAAAAGACAAACATGTGCAGGATTGTTTTTGAGACATTGGCTTTTCTCCCTCACTGTTAGTCTTGAAGACCCACTAGTGTATGTGTTTAAAATGTCAAAATCAACTATTCTTACAATTTGCACATTTAGTGAATGGGACACATATAGAAATGAGGTTATGCAGTCCTTCATAGTTTTATTTTCTATGTTTCAATATATTTCCCCTGTTGACAACTGTAAGAAACGCAAATAATACAAATGAAATGTATGTATTTAAATGTGACTGTAATGCAGCATAAAAAAGTACTGACACCAACGCTGATGAAAATCCATCGTATTCACGTTAAGAAAACATGATTTACAGGTGGCCTATCTTAGACCCCAAACAGAAATGTATAGAAACACTCTCCTCATTGATTCATACATAACGATATTTATCCTTTAGTCAATAAAAAAGCCGGTACTGGGGCTTCATGTTCTCAATCTTCTTTGCATAATTACATATAAAAGTGTAGAAATCCCTTGTTAAGTCTGCCACTTCCTGCTGCGTGTGTGTGGTGTGTGTCATCTGACTTCCCTTGCTCCAGGAAGAATGATATGTAATACAGGTCAAAGAGAAACAGCTGGTGAGAGGTGCATTAACACTCAGCGTACCAACTGGTCCTCCATAGAGCCAAACAGTGTCCAGCTTTTCCCCCTTTAAAGACGAGACGTGTCACAGAGGCCGCCTGACACAGATATGGAGATAGAAATAGCAGTGAAGGACAGTCTGATGACACACACGGACACACACACACACACATAGACAAAGACAAGTGGGACTTATACTAAATTCAACAAAAACAGGTTCTGTTCTGTTTGATTAAATTGCTCAGCATGTGCAAATTCCCCAGAGAATTAAATGTTCACAAAACTCAAGCTGTTTTCAGACTTTCACAGCTATGCAAGACAGCTCGTCAAGAATTTATGATGTCAACTAAGTTGTGTGTGGGTCTCAGTGACTGTCGCTGTGGATCATTACCCAACAAAGTCGCCAACGACACAAGAAAATTGAAAGACGGTGATGTAATCCTTAGTTAGTTTATTTTATTTGATATGGACAACACAGTAGCACAAGGGCCAGATGCTATGTGGTAATGGTTTGTTGTGAAATGCAAATGTACACATTGTTTCCTCTTCTTTCAAAAACATATAAAGTCAAAAAAGAAAACACATCCACAAATACATACAAAGATACATCACAAAAACTCAAAATACAGTTGTGTCTATCTGTTCCTGGAAAGTTGCTGTTTGGCCACTTTAGCTTATCACTTTTATTACTGAATCACGAGACATCCTGTAACATGTTCATTTGGAAAAAGAATCAGGAGAAAGTAGAGAACAATGTGTTTGCAGGCTGTAGCGCTTTCCTGTGGAGTTTCCTCAACGTGTTTTCCAATTCTGACTGAAGGGTAGGGGTCTATTACTTTTCACACAACACTCTCCATTGTCCCTCTCCCAAGTCCCGCCACTGGGCATTGTGGGAAGAAGAGGAGGACAGGGGGGTGTTGTGTCTGATTTTTCTAGAGAGGATGGAGCGCTTGCTGTTTCCTGTTTTGCGCTCTACGCTGGTGAAAGCTCTTCCTGTTCAGGGGAGAGGGTCAGAGGTCATCGAGAATCCCCCTTTACACAGGAGCAGCGCATGAATAGGATGGTGACTGTTTTTGCTTTTGCATTGTCTTCTGTAGGTATCTGAGGCCTCAGCATGCCAGTTCCCCCCCCTCCCCCGCCTCCTCCCCTGGCTCCCCCCCCACCACCTCCACCCAGCGCTGCCCTGCCACAGGTAAGAGTCCTTCTTATGCAATTTTGCAAATGCTCGCTAGTGTCCTTCTCAATGACCATCAACCATCACCTGTAGGTTGTTTGCATTATTGATTGAGGTAATACAACACACACACACACACACACACACACACACACACACACACACACACACACACACACACACACACACACACACACACACACACACACACACACACACAGTAGGGCAGACAGCAGTCTCTCAGTAGCAGAGGAGTGTTATGTTTCCGCAGCAGGCGCTCAGTGTCCTCATGTTAAATGAGAAGCCGCTGCCAGCGAACACGAACACACAGCGGAGACACATCAATACACTGAAGTCATCTCATCTCTCTATGAATTTCTCAACATTACTTAAAGAATTCTCCTTCTCCCTGCTTCTCTTCTTCTTCCCTAGCTTTAAATGTGTTTATATTCCCTCTTGTAAAACCCTTAACTGAATAATCTTACTGAATCTTAGTTTCTTTTACGTTTTTTTGGGTTGGCTGTCCGTCTGTTTAGCCATTGTCATGAACACAATATCTCACAAACGCTTTGAGAGAATTTCTTTATATTTGAAACAAATGTCCACTTGAAATCAAAGCTGAACTGATTACAATGTCAGGGTCTACGGTTAATTGTTATATGTGCTATACATGCCATTTCACTTTTTTCTCACCCAACTCTTAATGTCAAATAATTACATCAAATACATCTTGAAAATACACTAAGCAGGGCTGAAAGTCTTTATTTCTGCGGTTGATTTGTTGTGGTTTTTTGGAAACCTTTTAAATATATATCAGAAATGCTTAAAAAGAGAAGAAAAAGTTTAATTTAATTAACTTGAGTCTAAAATTATGTCTTCACACATCCTGCTTTGTCTGCTCCCGATTCCAACATCCAAAAGATATCCAATAATCAAAAATATAAAACAGAAATGCACGATTGGAGCTTGCATGAAGTATAAGTATTAAGAATAAACCTTTGTCGGTTTATTCTTAATACAGTAAATGTCATAAATTATTAATTGATTTTCAAATGGTCTTTTCTTTATTTAGTGTCCTGAAGTCGACCCTCAAGACAGAACAAATATGGGGCAATTCACTGTTAGATGAAAGCTGTTTTCTGTCTCTGTGTGGCAGTGTCCGTCGGAGCCCCCTAAGCTCCAGTGTGCAGGAGCAGGTGGAAGGAATGCCCTGCTGGCCGACATCCAGAACGGAGCCAGACTCAGGAAAGTAGCACAAGTCAACGACCGCAGTGCTCCGGCCGTGGAGAGTAAGAGCAACAACCTAACAGAGCTACTAATGTACACATGGACACACTCACCTAATTCTCACAGTGGAGCTCAAAGGAAGGAGAATGATGTGTGTTTATGTGTTAGGATGCCATAGTGTGAGATATAAATGTAAAACAAGACTTTGGGAAAAGGGAGGGCAGTGTGTGTGGTTGATCTGGAGTGCTGCTTCTCTTTGACCTATATACACACAACAAGTGGACACTTCAGGAAGGAATGCCCTGAAGGAGATAAGGATGCAGGAAGAATAGGAAACAACTACAGTGGCACACACAGTAGACAAGACATACAATGTATCCCCAGTATACAATAAGATTTATAAAATGGTTAAATATGTTGTATAAACAGTATTTTTCAAGTATGTGTGCATTCAACGGTATGTTTTGCCCGGTTGCGAGACACATTTCAAATGTTTTTATGACCATAAAGTAACACTATATGGACAGTGGTGCCATTATTATGATCACTTGTGATGTAATGTATGTGTACACATGTGTTGTTCCACAGATCCCAAGACTAGCCCTGGAGATGTGTCCAGTGTGGGCTCAGCAGGAGGGACACCCGTGGGACCCTCTTTGGGGGGGCTTTTTGCTGGAGGTTTCCCCACCCTCAGGCCTGTAGGACAAACAAGCAAGACCCCAGGTTGGTGAAAACATGTCTTGCTATGAATAAATCTATAAATGATATAGATATGCAGTAGTTGCAATATTTAGTCAACCAATGGACGAGTTGTTCAACAGAAAAATAATCGGCCAACTCTTTTGAGTATCGTAATTTTACATAAAAACATGTCACATAATGATGTTTCAGCATCTCAAATATGGATCATGCTTTTTTGATGTTTCATATGATATTAAACTGAATATCACTTGGTTTTAGGCTGACTGAAGAAATTACCTTGATATTTGACTGGGACGTTTTTCATTGTTTTCTGACATTTTGTAGTCCAAAAAATGCATCGATGAATCTAGAAGTTAATTTGTAGTTTTTCTTGATAATGACAATAATCACTATTATCAGCCCTAACATTGATTATCGAATTGACTCCCTTTCTCAAAGTGTCCCGGTCGAGCTCCTCCGCCTCCCTGAAGCCCCTGTGGAACCCCCCCCCTCCTCCTCCTCCAGCCGACAGCAGCAGCGTCTCGGAGCATCAGAGGACAGCGGAGCACCGTCGCTCCGTCCACCGCCCTCTCCCCCCCCTCGTCCTCCGCTCCCACCTCCCCCTCGCACAGCAGCAGGCACCCACCTTCATTCCCCACTTACTCTCCCCCTCCTCCTCCTCCACCTGCTCCTCCCTCTGCCCCTCCTCCACCGCCTCCTCCACCTCAGGACCGACCCGCCAACAGACACCCTCCCCTCCCCACCTGCCCACCTCCCCCACCTCCATCCCAGGTCACCAAGCCCACCTGGCTCCCCCTCCAGCACTCCCACCACAGCCCCATCTCCCAGCCCTCTACTCCTCCTCCCCCTCCTCCACCTTTCCAGTCTCACTCTGCTGTACCAGGGGATCGCTCCTCAGGGGGCTTCTACCCTCCACCTCTAGTCTCCTCTGAACCCTCGAGGTTCCCCATCCTGCGGGACAGCCCCCTGGGACCTCCTCCCCCACCTCCGCCTCCTCCTCTCCCATCTTCTTACACCCCCACCTGCCCATCCACTCTCCCCCCTCCACCACCCAAGCTGGCCGCAGTACCCTCACCAGCCATGCGCTCTCTGCCCCCCTCGTACCCCTGCAACGCCCCCACCCGACGGCCGCCTGCTGTGCCCAGAAGTGCAGGTGAGTGGACGCCATGATGAGGAAGGGTCTTTTTTTTTCTCACCTGTGATTTCCGGTTAATTTGAAATGCAAAGAAGTTGGACGCTGGATTAAATAATTAACCTTCTGTCTTATTTTTTAGAGTGAGCATCCCAAGGCAGTGGATATTGAGATGTTTTCACTCTACCACTTGTAGAAAAGCAAAGTATAGCCATAACCGACACAGGAAGATGGAGCCGGATATGGAATTATTCATAGGGCTCTTTAGTTTAAGCTCTGATCATTTTAGCTTTTACCTCTCCTGTCATCCTCTCTTTCCAAGCACAGACAAACAGCCTTGGGAGAGCTGTTTCTCCTAATGTGATAAGGCAGGCCCTTTCTTTCCGTTTGGGCTTCAACCACAGCTGTCTCGTAGATATGACCAAAAACAGCTTTTCTTCAGACAATAACAGGACAGTTTGACTCTGCCAGGGACAGGGCTTGCAGAGTCTTTTTGTATAATGTTGATTATATTCTTAGGTGTGGTTAAGTATGAGGGAAGAGAGCTTCAGAGTTGGTTTTGGCAGAGGCTGTGTCACTACTGCGTCCGGCCGTAACTTCCAATAAATCTTCAGTGTCTGATTAATTTGAAGCTCTCCAGTGTACTTCTTGTGTTCTAGTTCTTCGCTCCAAGATCTTATAACACATCCAACCTAAGAAAAGGATGAAGGTGATGTAAAATAGGGCAACAGAAAGTATTAGATGTACAAGACAAAGTTTGTATATTTCAGGGCAATGGTTTTTCTCCCTGACTTTTGCCTTGATTTTGTAAAAATACTGTTGTCTGTATAAACTGATGAAAATAACTCTTTAGAGGAACCGTTTTCACAACTCGTAGATGTAGTGTAACCTGCCATGGGGAAATCACAAATGTTGAAATACAATGTAGGTGTACATCTTACAACAACATGTTTACGGGAGAAAAACAATCCCAGTCGAAGTATTTGTGCTGTCAGTTGTGCGTCTGAAGTATAGTTTGTAAACTGCTGCAGCTGTTGCAAATAGTTATTAAAGTCAACAGGGAACATTTTAGTCTGTTTTTACAAATCAATGATCTTCCCTCGAGTAACCATATGGCCTTGCTGTCTCAGTTATCCCAAATAAACATTTCAGTTTTGGATGTTTTTCCTTTTTTGGTAGATCTTATTGCTTATGTCCGACACCCCACTGACTCCTCTGCTCTTGTCTCCCATGGCGACAGGTGGCGGTCGGCTGGCTCCTCCTCCGGCTCCCCCGGCACGCTCCCCCTCGACCGAGCTGTCCACCCGCATTCCTCCCCCCCCGCCTCCCCCCCTGCCTCCGTCAAGCCTCAGGAATGGACACCTGCACAGCCTGGGTGAGTGTAACTATATATCTGACAGTATTCATCTGACATTTTTATGGAGACGATTAAGGTTTTTAGTGTTTTTAGTGTGAGTTTCTTATGAAGAGTGCTTTCAAATTAGGGAATACGATTTTATTAAATGTAACTTATTTAATGAATTCAAATGTCCTTATCTCTTCTCTACATCCTCATTACAATTATACTGTATCAGAGCTTTTGTGTCTTCCAAAAATAAAAATAAACCTGGTGAGGATGAGAGACATCTCTGCTTGTGGAGAATGTCTGCTGTAATTGTATAGAGGTATTCATTTAACACTTTTTAAAGTACCTCACAGCAGTTTTCATTGCTTGTGGAATATACCTGATTGTTTTTAAAACTACTTATATTACAACTTGTCGTAACATCTGTTTAAAATTATTTTTGATCTGTTCATTTTATGTACCTAGTGATGCAACACAGGGTGTCCGCGGGTCTTAAAAAGTATTAAAAGTTGATCAATTAATTTAGCGAAAATGAAGGCTATTAAAAAGTATTTAACGGCATTTTCCAAGGTATTACATTTTGTAGCTTGTTTTCAATAAGTATATAAATTGTCCAAAGAGGTTGTATTCTACAGTTTGCCTGAATGTAATCATTGCGTAGGTGTGTAGTGTGATTCTGTGTAGTTTATTTATGGCATCCCGTTGGATTTGACGTCATCTGAACAGGACATCGCACGCTCCCTGCTTGATAGCGCGCGAAGGCCCGTTTACGCCGGTTGTTAAACAACATCGTTATGGGGAAATGCAAGTTTGCGTCCAAATGGTTGGAAGATAAGGAGGAAGGACAATCAATACCGTATATAGTAAATGTGAGGTAAAGTGTGTCGCCAATGTAACCGGTTAAAACTCGAAGTGGCGATGAGGTCTTAAAATGTATGGACAGGGTCTTAAAAAAGGTCTTAAAAGGTATTACATTTGACTTCAGGATTCCTGCATATACCCTGAAACAGTATAAAGAAAATAACATAAAAAATATTTGTAAAGACTTGTTTTGCCTTTAATCGATCGAACAGCTGTAGAGAGACCAGTAAACGGAAGACAGCTGGGAATGACATGCAGCATGGAGACCTTGTATTTGAAATTAGCACAACATATCACCCTTTTAATGTTATCTTTACTGTATATGTACTTCCAGCAGATGATTTTGAATCCAAGTTCCAGTTCCACCCCGTAGAGGACTTCCCTCCTCCAGAAGAATTCAAACCTTTCCCTCGGACTTACCCCAGCAAAGAAAACAGAGGTAGAGCCTCCCCAATATTTGTCATCCTAATCCATGACGTCATCATCATCACCTATTGAGTTGTCTTCCTCTTTCCTCTCCATACAGTGAACCCCAACCCCCCTGGGATAAGGACACACCTCAGATGAGTCATAGCCACATCCTGATCTTCATCCCCCCACTCACATATCAGGCAGTTATCCTCCTCTTCCTCCTTCTCGTGACAATTACATAACTGTCATGGACTTATTTGGATGAAAACTGTGTGTGTGTTCATGTTTAGTGTATGTGTGTGTGTGTGTGTATGTTGGTGTCAAACAGGGTCCCGCCTTATTCTGACTATGTGACCTCTGACCTTTTCCAGTGTGGAATGTTTTGAATGTGTGAGGAGGAGGGCGACTCTCCCTCCTCAGACTCACACGTTACATACAGACCGTACACACACAAGAGACAGTGTCTTTCAGCAGCTGAATTTAGTATGACAATTGATACATTTTATAAGCATTTCAAAATCTACGTACAGATTATTATATTTTCATTTCATGTCAGGATCTGTCCCTTTTACAGAAGCACTTGTAAAGTGAGTGGTTAATGCAGAAACAATGTTCAGCACACAGAAAGTAAAGCTCTTTTAAATATACAAACTGTGGTCCAGCAATGACTACTGCCCTAGAATAAGCTCTTTTAAAAAGGTTTAAGCAGAACAATCCATTTAAAATGTCATCTGTTTTTCTTTGTTTTGAGATTGTAATTACCTATATGTCCACCAAAAGCATGTAAGCAGAAAACTTAAAGCGGCCCTACTATGCTTTTTAGAGTTTACCTTTTCATGAAGTGTGTTAAATAGGTTTATATGCATGTAAAGGGTCTGCAAAGGCTTACATCTCAAAGATCATCATCCAGAGGGAGTTTCTCTCTCACACACTCCCCCCCCACCACCCCTGCTTGGACCACCCATATTGTAGTCCTTTGTTTACTTCTGTAACATGACATCACTATGTATCACTTGAGCTTCTATTGGCTAGCTCTCCAATACATTGTACGTGATAGGCTAAGGGGCGGGACATCTCTAAGCGGTTGACCAATCACAACAGAGCCGGCCAGCTAACCAATCAGAGCAGACTGGGCTCTGGTTTCAGACAGAGGGTGAAAGAGGTGCTGCAGCACAGACAGTATGAGCAAAATAAAGAGCTTTTTGAACATTAAAGCATGGAGACATGTCACAGTAGAGGCATAACATACAAATATGAACCTGAAATAGGGCCCCTTTAACCTCAATGAGAACAACAAAATTGCAGGTGACTACTTGGCTATGCAATTTCATCTATCGTTGTACATATGGTGGTGCTCTCCTTTGTGTTTAATTTTAATAAGTAACTAATGCATCGAGACATTTAATAATCATGGGAATGCATCTGGTTTCTCTGTTGTGAATACATAATGAATGAGGTGTAGTGTTACCTTCCTCCCTGTGTTAACCAATACTAACACCTGTGAAGACAGTGCCACCTGCTGGTTCAATGTGTAAAGTGTTACAAGGTGTGAAAACCAAATAAACCACAGTATTTTGTTTTAGAAAGTTCACTTTTATTGATCTCATTGGTTGTAAAAACTGAAAATTGTAATATGCCTTGACTAGAAGATACATTTTCATAATGAGTTTAGTCTTGACATGTTTAAAAAAAAAAAAACTGGACAGTCTAGATTAAAGTCGACACTGTGGAAACATTCGGTGGTTTGAGACGTGTGTGCAATATTGGAAAACAGCCTCCAGCGTGTTGGTAAAAACAACAAAGTACAGTTTATCTCACTTTGTCATTTCAGACGATTTACCTTGGATAGTAGCGTGCAGAGATAATTGTATGTTTCAGAATTTTAAATATTGATTCTTTCAGCATTGACACTGCAGTGTATGCATGTGCACTTTCCCACAGCGACTGTCACCTGTCAAACAGGTGTCTCTTATAACAACAACGATGGCTGCTTTGTGCCAGGACCTGAGTATTGTGTATACTGGCTCGCTGGGAACACGCAGAGAAAATGAAACTGAGCCATTATGTTCTCGGTTACACCTGCTTTTCCTGCTATGTCAAGTCATCACGGTTGCCATGGAAAACTCATGATCATCAGTGCCCTATACACAATACATTTCACTGCTCCTTAGACACAACAAATACCAAAGTTCACATTTTCCTGCCCCTTGAACCTAAACACAATTCAATCAATATCATACGACTGATTTTAATGACATTTACTCCAATTCTTCTATAAAGTGGACGCATTTATTTGCCAAATGTATACAGGTATAAAAACAGTCCCTTTACTTATGAACCCACAAAGGGTGAAATTAAATTGATGTAATTTTTTTTAGGAAAGGAAATAAATACAATTTCTCCCCCAAAATTGAATTTTACAGCCAAATTTAGCAACTGTTATCTACATACTTTGGATACACTGTTAAAGGCATTTACTTCCTGCTTTTCCTCAGATATTTGGTGACACTGATAAGCATATATCATTTGAACACATTCTTAAAAAGTGTGTAATGGACTATTGTAAACACATTAACAAAACATACAAAATAAAAAAGACATCAATTAAACACACCCATTGGCTCACACAACGCTCCTATACATACTTTCATGCTGGAAATAAAGCTCTGCATCAAAGTATTTCAACCACAAATCACTTTAAACTCCATGACACTGAGCGAGTGTGTGAGAATTTAAAGTTCATCGTGTTTGTAAGTAAACTCTCGGGAGGATATAAAGCCGTCTTTGTTCGCATCCTCTTTGTTGAAGATGTCCTTCACCATGTTCTCATGCAGGGTGTCGTTGGGAGGGTAGCCGTGGCGCTCAAACTCTTTCCTCAGATACACGCTCACCTGGTGGATGAAGGTGAGAGCAGGACGATTAGTGAGGATGAGACAGGTTGAGATTTAAAATTAAAATAAAGCCCTTGTGTGGAGTCAGATACATAAATCCAATTCCTTCATTTCTATACGTTTTTGACGCAATAATGCCAATGTTGTATTAGGATGATTCACGGGAGGGCTACTTCCCATAAGCTATGCTTCAGCCCTCCCGCTTCTACTGATTTTGTTTATCTTTGTGTGTATGAATTATACTTTTTTTCTTCTTTGGATGATTTAGTAGAATAAAATACTAATTAAAAAATTTAAAAAAGTTACATCCAAGATTAACAATACACTGTTAAAACAGATACTGCAGTTTATTTTTGACAAACAAATAAAGATATGGAATAATAAAATGGACACTACTTAATAGTCCAAATTGCTTTACCTGCACAGCACTTATGTTTTGGGATATTCATTTTAATGTGCATCCACATCTTAATTATTAGCCATTTCCAATAATTGACACTTGGCCGTGCTGGTCTGTTTCAACTCCAATTAGCAATTGTTTTGGGATATCAACATATATCAGGTCAGTGCTTCCCCTAGGTTTACTGCTTTGGGGGGGTGGGGTGGGTGGCATTGGGATATATTTATTTTAAATCCTCTGGAGCAGAGAGGAGCTGTGGATTATTGTTATTGATTAATGCATCAGTGTTTCTTAGGGTCAAAAACACTAAACTCACAACTTAAAATGAAAGCGTTTAGTTTATTTAATAAAAGAGCACATGTTCAATGTGAAAAGTGACAGTAGATATAGATTAGTTGCAATTTGGTGCTATATATATATATTAAAAAAAAGAAAATTATATATATATATTTTAAACATCTTGAATTTCAGGGGGGGCACGGGGCTCCGTTGGCGGGGCGCAGCGCCCCTCCAAGACAATGGTAGGGGAAACACTGCAGGTAGAAGTAGCACAGTGAATGATTTGTTTATAGCAGTGTTCAAATCTGATAGGTGATTTACTAGTTAGAAAAGAAAAATGAAATAACAGAGAGAATGTCCCCCTTCTGGCCTCTTAAACTGTCAGAAGACCACAATCTGAGAAGGTAACTGCTCATAAATGCTTAGTGTTGTGTCAAATTATCATATAATCATTTAAAACATATAGTCTTATACTCTGATTGTCTTTTACTCTGTTCAATTATATTTTTAGTCTTGTATGTGTTTAACAGAGACATATGTTTAGGATTAACATTTCAGGAGGGCAAAAGGAAATATAAAGGTGGATTTGCAAATGGTTAAGGGTAAGGGGGTTTTATGGTTTAATGATGGGATGTAGGACCAGTTGGCCGTTTCCTTTCATGAATATATAGTGGGACTGTCAGCTGTGTTCGGGGTGCAGAATTATCTTTATCCTCTGAGGATGAAGTTGATCTGTTCCTGCATTTCAGATCGATTTCAATTGTATATTGAATTGATATTTAGTTATATTTAATGTCTTTATTAAATATAACAAAAGACACATTTTGTCCATTCATTATTTATGAGTTTCTCTTAAGAATTTCCTCCACACTTATCTCTTTAGACCATTAGCCGCAAGGGTTTTTTATTAGTATATCATAGGAAGAAAACGCATTTTTATCTACTCCAAGTCAGAGAGTTTTCTGAAGGCAGTGTGCGTTTGTGTATACCTCCTGCATGGAGAGCCTCCAGTCATCGTTGATGTCCATCTCCTGGAAGGACTCGTGAGACCTCGGTCCATTTTTGATGTTAAGCAGCTCGACGACAAAGGTCAGCGTGCTTTCAGGAGGGATCTTACCTGAGCAGAGAACAGCACAGAGCAAGAGGTCAGATAGAACTGAGACTGTATCAACTGGGGTTTATATGAGAGTGCTTCAGTTTAAAGAAAGCATTTGGTCTGGCATCCCTTAAGAATCACAAATATTAGAAAAGTCTTATCAGGAAAGAAATGAGTGATCAAGATTTTTCTTCATCCTTCATCTCAAGAACAATGTTTAAGTTCAACTTTCAGTAAATGAGAAAAGCTAGTTGTTCAGTATAATCTTAACATTACACATTAAAATAATAATCAACAAATCAGATGGAAAAAATGTAACTATATATTTTTTATAATTACTGCTGGCACTAATACTGAAAGTAAAAAAAAAAAAATCTTTCATTTTCCTTTTCGATTTTTTCCCTTTAGTCTGGCCCTAATATTTGTCCTTATAGCAACACATTGTACATTAATTAAAGTAAACATAAGTTCGAAAACATGTTGAAAGTGTTACTAAGAAGTCAAATTATTATTGCATTATTAGTCATGTTTAGTCATTCAGGTTATTATTGTCAAGGCAAAAGTTAGTCAGGAACAGAAGAGATAGATGTTAGGGGTTAAAGCGGTGTGTGCTTACCAGGAAAAAGCATAACATTGTTCACATGCTCCATGTAGAGAAAAAGTGGACTAATACTGCTGAATGAAATCTTCATTCAGTTTGGGAGTCCTGGAGAGCAATTCAAAACAAGACAGACAAGTATAATATGCATACATGCAAAATTAATGTACAGGAATATTACACATTTTCTAAAAACCTCAACCACTTTTATAAAGACAGTCCCATGTTTCTGCATAGCAGCATGCACAGCAGTTTGCATGAATATGGTCAAAGCTGCAGTACCTTTCCCTTCCTTCCCGTAGGCCAGGGCAGGAGGGACGACCAGTTTCCTCTTCTCTCCAGAGCACATGTCCTGCAGGCCTTTATCCCAGCCTTTAAGCACTTCCATGATGCCCAGAGTAAACCACATGGCGTGCCGGTCACCATCAGTTCGACTGGAAAGCAAACACAGACAGAGAGTGTGGGGTTACAGGTCTGAAAAGGAAGGACTGCAAGAAGACCCCCTTTAGAGACAACAGCAGGTAACAATAGTGGAAATTAGAGTAAACATCCCTCACTTAAATCACAAAAGAACACAACATTTCCTCAATTACAGTCCCTACTGAGAAATGCTGCATAATATCACGCCTGTTTGCCCTCTGACCTCAGCTCTAACTATTACCACCTTTTGTACATGGTAAGATCTATGTATGATTTTTTTTAAAGTATATTCAGTTTTCATAAGCTGTGTGTGGGTTTAAGCATGTGTGTATATGCATGTATATATTTGCATAAGGTGATATGTATGAATAAGAACATGTAATATATGTTTACAGAATGGTTTTGTTAGATAAACCTTTTTGAATTAAATATCACATTGTTGTCTTTTTAAGTAAGTGCCTTATCTGTTGTCATGTTATGTTTGGCTTTTATGGTCAACTTAATAAAATGTGTCTTGTAACTTGGCTGAACTGACCCTTTACATGTTTTATCACGTGATCCTAACAGATGGAGGATTGACCAATGAGATTTGACACGTGAACACCTGGCATGGAGTAGCCATAGCAACCCGGCGAAAGAAAAATCGGATTTAAAGTTTAAACAACAAATGTCAAACCCGTATGAGCAGTTTATTTAAATGAAGAAAAAGAAATACACCAAATGGCTTCCACTTAACGTCTTGAGAAAGTTAGTTTCGTTACTTTTAATCTCGTAACAACTCCTGCTCTCTTGAAACTCACCGCGGGAGTTTTTCAAAGACAGTTTGCCGACATGAAACATACCTGGTGTACAACATGGTCCCATTCTCGAAGTACAGCTCATGATGCACCAGCAGCATGTCTCCGTACTTAGTTTTCCGGTGACAGAGGAAGGGTCTGTGCAGGACATCTATCTCCACCTCGGCTTCAGGGAGCTTCCCCCCGCTGACGGAGAGCAGCATGGAGGAGCATAGCCAGGCGAGCACCGTCAGCATGCTGCCACACTGTCACCTCACTGAGGAACAAAACAGGTAAGTGAAATGTTGGGAAAAGTTTGGAGAAGCTGCAGCGACACGCGTGCAGTTTATTTTCTACGTGGCAGTGACGTTTCATCCTGCATGTTGTTGCAGGAAGTATTTTCCTGATTGGTTGGTTTTGACCAGTAAACCCGCCCACAGACGCTCCCTTACAGATGTGAAGTTTAAAAAAAAAAAGGGCAATTTTTTTGCATAAGGCACATATAAAAAACACAAAACAGGGCATTCATATAAAAAGATGGCAAGGATAAAATTAAATAATGGTGGAAATTATACTACAACACAATCTGTCTCAAATAATAAACAATTCAAGAATCCTTATTATATTATCATGACTAAAAATCAAATATTATTTTTAAAACTAAAGAACAAAAAAGAAGGTAAACAGACGAGGAAGTGAGAGACAGTAAGACTGAGATAAAGATTCAAATTATACATGAACACTGTGAAAAAGGGATTACTTTTTCCACTTACAAGTACAGTATACGTCTGGAATGTGTTCTTGCAATTTGTCCATGAAATACAATTATATTTCAATAAATATCAGAATGTTATCCTTTTGACAAAAGCAAACTATATAAATTCAGTTTCTGAAGAACAACGTTAATATATATTTTTTAATTATTCATTCATCTTTTTTGAAGAAAATCACTAACAAGCGAAATCACTGATACTATCCTAAAAGTGTTTCCTTGAAGAAGCAATATGACATGATGGATAAGAAGAAATGCACTCTGAATTGTTGGCCTCACCTTTATTAGTGTACAGTGTGAACTTTACAGTCATGCAGGCAGATTAAAATACACTTATTACATTTGGCTGAATTAAGGTTGAATTTCCTTTGATGTAACTGAGCAGTTTCTTCATGCTGCTGCGATGATCACAGTTTTTCTTGTTAGAGTACGACATTCATTTCCCTCCCGTCGGTATTTGAACATTCACATCGAGAGGGCTATACTTTGGATATTACATTTATAGCACTAGTTAAACAGTCCAATGTGCACTTGTACACAATTACATGCATTTTCACAGTATTGCACTTCATAAATACATGTTTCCTAAGGAATAAACACATTTACACACCCCTGATTTGCATACTACAGTATATATAGTATCAATAATATAATTGCCTCATTTGAAAGGCTCTTTTTTCTGTCTCTCTTTACAAAATAATTTCACAATACAGCTTATTTTTGCATTAACAGTCAGCAAGTCATACACATTGTAACTATTTCATATGATACAATCATTAAAACGTGTCCCACCACCACCGGTGTCCATAACAGTGCTGCAGCCGATGACTATAACAGGAAGTGGCTCCCTGAGGCCAGACAAAGATTGAAACCTGCAGGGGAGACGGTCGATTCACATGGCTCAGAGCAGGCGCAAGAGCTTCCTTTAGTCTCTTTCAGTCCATCATTTATTTTAAAGGGGTGAGACTTCAGTAGAAATCTGAAATATAGACCCCAGTGATCAGAAAGAGGAACTGTGAAGTTGCAATCAGGCAATTTGTCTCACTTTCCAGTTCAGGTGAAATACTTGCAACCTGTGGAGTCAATGAGGCAAGAGTCGGTGCATCTGAGCTGCCCAAAGGACCTGCGGAAGATGGGGAGATATTTTAGGGAAACATTTTCTTAAAAAGTGCAACTGATTTAAAGGGGGCTGTTGTGTAGTGGAAGCTTAGAATAATGAACAAAGCGGGTCTAGTCCAAACTGAACATTTTGATATATTTGAATGCAGCAGTTTACATCAAGAACGGTAGTTGTAGTGGAAACGTGCACTCGACATCTGGTATTCATTTCAATATCAACTAACCGGAAAAACACAGAGCAGGAGACTTCATTGTACTTCAAAATAAAAGCACTTCCTGTCAAACATTTTAAACAGAATTATTATCCTCATATTTAGAAGTAAATCAGGTAAAAATATGCTTCAGCATTTCTCCTGTAACGTATGTCAGTAAGCAAATAAACAATCAAACAAGTTTCAACGGGAGCGAAGGGGGGACGCCATTTCCCTGATTGGCAAAATGACCAAAAGACATCCCCTTTGTTTACCTGCTCACCCCCTATCCATCCCAGAGTAACATAAACTGTGCTTTGTGGTAGACATAATATATGGCCCTTACTCTTGATAAATCCATGGAGATGTCCTTGGTGTTGAAGGAGCAGACATGTTTGTAATTGTGAAGTTTTCTCTGAGTGTTTTGTCACTTTTGTCTTAAATCCATAATATTCTCTAAACTACATAACAGCCAGACAGACTACCTGATTACCCTGCTTCGAGTCTTAATGCTAAGCTAAACTAACTGCGCTATAAATCTTCTCAACTGTCAGCAAGAAACGGAAATGTGCGTTTACCCAAAATGCTGAACTTTTCCTTTAAGCATAATAATAAAGCATGCGTAAGGCAGCTAACTCATGGTGGTGCCAGGGTAATGCACCATCATCTCTGCAGGGTTTGAGAGACCTCCCACTATACAGTAAGTACGGTATTTCATTCCAATGACCGTTTACTGTCCTGAGTTGGTGCAGTATAAAAGTGCTGCGGTCTAAACTGCAGAAAGTCTTATTGTAGTATTTCTACACCAATAAATGGACACTTAGTGATTGTTTATGCACACTGTCAGTGAACATACCCGGGGAGATAGGATTTGCAGGTCTGATAACCAAAGTCCTTTCCATCACACTCCTCAATGCCGTCATGTCGGTAGCCATCGCCACAGTAGGCCCACTTACAGTCTGAAGTGAGGTGAGGAAATCGTATCGGTGGTGGCAGGGTATTGAGAGAGAGAGGAAGGGAGGGAAGGGAGAGAGAAGACGTTACTGATTGTTTTGGCACTCCTCCTGCGTGTTTTACAGTGATGCCAATACAGCATTTTGCTGCTAGTTTAATTGAACAGAGGAGAAGTGAGAGGATGGCAGGAAAAGAGAGGGGGAGATTAATGAACGATCAAGGAAAGGTTTCACAGTGTGTGTGTTCTGCTTTTATCCTCCGTCAGGTGGTTCAGACTCACTGCAGCTCTGCAGGAAGCTGGCTCCGCAACAGCAGGGCGGCGTTTCTGCAGCAACAGCCTAACCTTCTGTTTTGTTTCTAACATATACATTTGTTTATCTTAATTCTAGTTACACTGTATTACATAACATGAAGGGAATTGGTTTCCATATTATTTTTTTTTGTTGCACTTTTTTGCATATAGTACAGGTACTATGTAACGACATGGTTTCACTGCATTTGACCCATCCTAGTGTTAGGAGTTTTATAGCACATTTCAACCCAATTACAAGAAAATTAACAAACAAGTAAGCTAATGAATGCTTGTCTTTATCCATTACAGTTTGAATTGTTTTGAGCTAGTTCATTGAAATAAATATTAGGTGCCGCCAATTCATTCATGTTCCGAAAACCATTATCCCATTGCAGAGCAAGAATATACAACGAGATGATATGAGAGCGTTAGTATTTCTTTTAACAGTGACATACAATATTCAAAATATGACATTTCAGTTGTTGAGGTGACATCAGATCTGTTAGGAGCTTCAATGGACATTAAAGTCACATGCTTCATGTACATCATCTTTTGTGCGTAGAATCTTAATCCATAGCACTTTGTAGCATTTTGCTTTTAACAATACACAAACTTTTCCACTTCAGCCAAGCTTAAATCTGTAAATGAATACAATAAACTGCCTACTGTCTGTAGATCATTGTTCACCTCCACATTACCGGACGTGTGTTCAAATGAGCAACAGATGCTTGTAACTCACTGAGACAGGCATCGGTGACAATCTGGTTTCCATCATCACACTCCTCTCCGTGCTGGGCCTGCACCTTCCCGTCTCCACACACACCAACTCTGTCCGGGACTTTCTCTGTGGACTGGAACGGCTGGAAGGGCTGAACACGCAGGACAACAAACGCTAACTTGACATTTCAGGCAGTGAGAAAATCGTAACTTTAATTGTTAAGGCATTACGCTGAAACTGGACTTTATTAGGGGGAAAGTGAGCCCCTTACTTAAAATGATGCATGTAGTAGTTATATACATTTTCCCATCAAATCTAGACCAGTTTGGACGAATAAATCCTAAGTCAAAGTCCATTTATTAGTTTTTCTACAGCTTTTCAATTGTGTCTCATGGTCTTCCTTAGCTCCTGAAAAAGCCAGTAAGTGGACCTTGAGTTGAGATATCAAAAATGAACATTCACTCTTAAATACTGCTCAGTTTTAGCCTTGATGTGAGCTGTAAATGAACACTTACGTGCTCATTGGCATCAGTTTGAAAAAATACAGCACTGGTTATTTGAAGATCTTTAGTTTCATCCTAGCGAGTAAAAACACTAGTAGTGTGTACAGTACATAATAGTTGTTACCTGAATGGGCTTCCATCCATCTTTATCTTTGAAGTACAGCACCCTCTGGTCCTTCCTGAATGCTATTGAGTGGTCTAAACGCAGACGCTCCATCTCCTCCTCATTGTTTACCACAAATATCTGCACAGATACACAGTCAGCGCATTATGAGTCATGATTGTTTCAGTGGGAACAAATATTCAGTTTGGATAGATGAATAATATGGATGTGGTTTTATGTGAGGGATCTTACTGCAGGGACTTTATTGAGGCCCCCCCGCTGTGTGTAGCTTCCAAAAGGAGCATTATTGGCTCCAACAGTTGAATCACAGTCACAGCGACCCGCTGGACCAGGAAGACCCTTCTCCCCCTTTTCCCCTACTACATAGAGACCTGTAAAAGAAAAAATCCCATACAAAATAGGATGATAATAAGATCACCTTTAATGTCTGTCACATAGCAAATAAATTAAACATGAATTCTACTTTGACATGGCTCAACAACAAACGAAACAAAGCACATTTAATGACTAAAACACATACGTAAAATAGGACTAAAACTGTTAAAGCTACAGTTGATAAGGATAATAAATTGAAGAGAATAGTTTCAACAGGTCAGTGTAGTGCCTATTTTCATTTGTTAAGGGTTATGTTTTCCGGGTTAATGGGACGTAATGATAGCAGTAACTTAAATATGTGTTTGAGAGGAGTCCTGCTTTATCAGAGAGGCTTTCCTCATCATTGACCCACTGACCCGGAGTATAGTTTATAGTTCAGATGGGGCAGTTTGGGGCGAACTAATCATTTTGCTGGCTTTATAACTTATGCTGTAAATAATATAGGTTGTAGTAATTTCAGGCTGATTGAGCACCAGTGTGTGAGTTGCTGTACCTGAGGCAGGTGGACCAGGTGGTCCTGGATGGCCATTTGGTCCTGAAGGTCCATGGGGGCCCATGACTCCTGGGGTGCCAGAGTGACCCTTCATGCCCTATGCAAACCAGGAAGCATCCCAATATTAGGAAATACACAAACATACTGGAGGTACTCACATTCCACTGCCACCTGTGCATAGCTGCCATTTGTGTTAATGTATACAATGTAATGTAACAGAAAATGTGTGTGTTTACATGCATAGACTGTACATGTGTAGGCTGAGAAGATGCAACAGACCCCCCCTCCCTACAGAAGTCTTTGCTAAGGATATCTTGAGTTATTTAATTAGCCGAAGAGAAGACGCAGCTCTCACTTGAGCATCTTTCTTCCTCGTCTTCCTCACCTGTTTGCCTCTCTTCCCTGGCCGTCCAGTGGGTCCTCTCTTCCCTGCCACTCCCGACCCTCCCTTTGTTCCCTGCTCACCCTGGGAAAAGAGTAGTGGAATAATCAGTTTGAATCAGACTCCTAACTGTCCTTATACTACCTACAGTATAATACTTACCTTCTGTCCAAGCATCCCAGGCAAACCAATGGAGCCCTGCATGAAGACAAAATGAGAGCTTGGTGTCAGAAAAGTCATTATTTCAGCAGAGCAGAGATCCATAACATCTTTAAATTGAATCTTTCACTGAGGCTCAAGTGAGCTTGAAATGTCGGGACCTGAGAGAAAGAGTAAAGTCATCTACTTTTTATTCTAACCAGCATTTTACATTTTCAAGTCCATTATAACACAGCATGAGGTGCTTATAATGCTCAAAGCCTGGGCTGTAAGAGTTACACAACACAGTACATTCAAATACAATTTTAGGATCTGCTATTAAGAGAAAAATGACAACTGTCCACCAACCTTATCTCCTTTTGGTCCTGATGCTCCAGGGTCACCATGACGCCCCTTGAAAAAATAAAAGAGTAAAATAAATCAAGGAAGGATTTAATAATTCTGTTGTGACATGTGGCAGACATGTGTAGTGAGAGAAGTGATTCTGAACCTACCTTATCTCCTTTGTAACCAGGCAAACCCTGAAAAAACACACAGGGAATATAACAGCAGATAACGAAAGACTGTTTCTCTTTTCTTCCCTATCATTAACATAATTGTGTGTATGCCTGTGTAAAGATATGACTTGCCTTTGTCCCTGATGGTCCCCTTAGTCCTGGTAATCCCATGAGTCCTGGATCCCCTTTCTCAGCCTAAAAAACCCATACAGGTTCATGTTCTTATATAGCAAAGTGTAAGACCACAACACATTGTGATATAACAGTTACCTGGGGTCCCTCTGGTCCAAGCCATCCTTGTAGTCCTAGTTTCCCTGGGAGGCCTGGAGCCCCTGTACGACCCTAAGGCACACACAGGATCAGAGAATGCACTTATTGAATCTGTTGATGCTTTTTCAACCTCTTCTTGTTGGAAATGACGACTCAGTTGCTTTAAATGGCACTAAACAGTTTGCAGTTCTTTCCTCTTTGAGTGTTAATAGTCTTATCCTCAACAGCAGAATGTGTTAACCTTGTTCTCCAAAACAAATTGAATAATTGAATTCATGACGTAAAGAATGAGTTCAACATTCTTTGATTTGTTGCCAGAAGCTTTGAGGAAATTATATTAGATGAGGTAAGTGTAGCATACATTCTGGAAACAGGGGAACAGCAAGCCTTTTTTTTAACCAAATGTACAATAATCAGCCTATCAGAAACTCTTCAAAGATATTATAATTTGTTTTAAATATATTGTCTAATCAGTACATAATCTGTGGTGCAAAAATGACAAGATATAGTTTCACAGTGGGGTTTATCTGACTCTTGGGATGAATCAATAAGCATCTTTTCTAAAACGTCAGGCTTTCCTTTTAAACTTGGACTGATTTCTGCTTCTGATATGCTGATGAGCTGCAGCATTTTACGTTTGCCAAGATGCTTCTTTAATGGCCCTGTTTCCCCCTGAAAAAAGAGCCACTGATATCCTTAGAGTGTAACCAGGTTAAATAAGGGTCATAAACAAATTAGCATGTTACACGGACCTCGTATGATTTCCTAATGGGACATGACAGAGGACAAAACCCCGCATGCCAACTGCTTTTACAATGCCACTAAGATTCAATAATTAGCAGACAGGAATAAAAGCCTAATCAATGTTGCGCTATCGCCAGCTCCCTTCAAGCAAGAAAAGCCAAATGCATTACAAATCAGCCTCGCATCTCAATGGGACAAGTATCCCAGAGCGGCCGCCATGCTACCAGCGTGCTCTCATTTAGCTGGCCGTCATTAAAACAGCAGCCTGTAGAGACACCGTGGACCTGCTGCTGCTGTGTGCAGTGATTTATCACGGAGAGCAAAAGCACTTAGGGAGATTAAAGTGCAGAAGTGGAGTGCTGGAGAGCCTGGATCAGCAGGACTGGAGTCCAGTACGAAGAGTAATGGATCCGGGCCCAAGGAAAGGGAGAGGGGAGGAAGAAGGAAGCAGAGGAAAAGGATAGAGGGGAGAAAGAGAGGTGAGACATCCTGGGATGTGATCGAGCTTTGCTACATGGAAAGAGCGGGACTAATGTAGCGTGACCCATTTAGCAGCAGCAGAGGATATTCTGAGCACATCAATAGACAAATCACATCACAGAGATGGAGGATGCATAAGGGGGGGGGACGGAGAGAGAAATTCAGATCCCATTATACCAAGGACATGCGAGATGGACCAGAGAGAGACGAGCGAGGCGAGGCGACATGCGGGAGGAGAGGCTCACCTTTGACCCGGGACGTCCAATTTCTCCCTGGAGGAGGACAAATGAGGAGAGAGGAGATGCAGCAGTCATTAGAGCAGAGAGGAACACAAGGACACACGCACAGATACTTCAACAGCAAAGTACATTTTCAAGACTAACAAAACCCAAACACACACCTTCTCGCCTTGTGGTCCTCGGATGCCGGGTAATCCACCTTGACCCTGAAAAATAAGACTACATTTATATCCAGCTCACATCATTTAACAGAGCTTGGTCCATTTGTAAATAAATCAATAATATTGAGGTCATTTTGTTTCATTTAAATTCAACAATATTCTATCTAAATGGCTCCAGTGTCATGGATGCACATTAGCTGAAAAGTGGTGCAGGCCGTGATGAGAGTATATACATTGTGTTGTATTTATATAAGGGTCTTGCCTCTGGGCCCTGGGGTCCTGGGGGTCCTGGAGGTCCAGCTGAACACCCGGGTGTGACAGGTTTTTCCTTTTCCTTTACCTCTCCTCCAAACACGCTTGGCTCCAACACGCTAACACCACCCTTCAGTCAAACACACAACATCCAACCTGTTTCAATCCTATACTCTTAGCATGCAAATGTGTGTAAATGAGGTGTAATAAGGCATCAGGTGTGTGTTTGTGAACACCTACGGGGCTGCCATGCTTCCACAGCTGAGGCGGCGGGGGGAAGAGAGGTGGGGGGGGGCGGGGACATCAGACAGCAGGGGTCAAACGTCAGCGGCTCATCCAGAAACCTGAGAACTGAGAGGGAGCCAGAGTTTAAAAGATGCATGCAATATGTGTTATTTGCCTTATATGACAAGTTAAATATTCAACTTACCTGAGCGGGGGGAGAAGATGCTGTCCATGTAAGAGTGGCGGGCCCACGCAGAGCACAGCAGGAAGTGGAAGGACACGGCAAGTTTGATCAGATCCATCCTTATGGTTTACTCTCCCTGAAGCGGACAACACAAGCTGTCAAACACACACTCTATTTCTGCTGAGCTTAATGCAGTAACTGGCAGCTGTCACTTTTTCCTTACTCCCTCTAAAGGGTGTCACTTTTTCATCAACCACTTAACCCCCCTCCCTCTCCCTCCCTCCCTCTCTCTCTCGCTCTCTCTCTCTCTTTCCTCATAGCATAATAAACTTGTTGCAGCTCCACACTGCAGCAGATGCAGCACCGCTGTAATACCAGTTGTGCACCAAACCCCCTTCAGCCAGAATTAGACAGAGGGTGTGTGGGGGGGTGCTGTCACTCAGGCTAATTATGACTTCTAACACTTCATGTTAGAAGTCATAAGGCTTCTTCATTTACACAAACATTTCATTTCCAGTATGCTCATATTTCGTCTGGTAGTGGATGATATTAGAAGTCAATGCAGAACGAATGCATGCAGTAGTCTTTATTAATAAGCCTCAACATTCCCGTCTTATACTATCTAATTTAACGTACACAATGCCTCAATGCACAGATGATATAGTTAAATGATAGCAATGTCATCTAACATCCATGCTTTCCAATGCACAAGACCCCCCTTACCTTCCACTTGAGATTGTGCCGCACTTGTGTACACGTTGCTGGATCCCCTCTCACTTAATGCGCGGTGTGCAGACCCTCAGACTGGGGCTCCTCTGGCATCTGGCGAGCTGTAGACCGCTAATAAATCTGATCCACTTATCGACCCACTTCTGCTGTTCAATACCAACACAGATGCAGAAGGAGGATGGTTTTTATTTGTTCTCCCCGGGGGCTGAATGTCCCAGCAGAGGCCACTGAGTGGAGGCAGCACAGCGGTGGCGGCTCACTGTCAGCGGGTCCGGGTGGTCCAGTCTATGGTCCGGGTCGTTCGGTCTATGGTCTGGATGACACAGTCTGTGGTCTGGATGACACAGTCTATGGTCCGGATCAGAGGCTCGTTAGCTGCTGTGTCTTCTTGATCGACTTCACAGCAGCTGGATGAATATATGGGTTGGCGGCACCAACATTTTATGTCGGCATGCATACAGTACACTCGTTTGGCACGTTTTAAGTCTACTGATGGTTTCTGCAGCAGGGAACTGGCGCCCTCTGCTGGGTGTTTTAGTGAATGGCAGAAATAATAGGAAAAGTCAATATCCCTTAACTTTGCCCTACATTATTGACTTATTCTTATACAACTCTTAAAATAGATGAGTGAAACTGACATAGGGTAGGGCTCTTTTTGAACTACACAATCTCTGTCCGGTATGTTTTCTCTATTTTTTGGTAACAATAACTGGATTATTTTTATTAACTGTAAATTTGTATTTCAACATGTATATTTTCTGCATTTTTAATGCTATTTTATTTATTTTAGAGATGTTTACATTTTGAATTGTATATTTCTAGTCTTTTAATTTCTCTAATGTACAATGCCTTATCTTTTTATGCTGCTGCAACGCAAATAAGTACATATTATTATCTTATGTTATTTATAATAGGTTTATGTCTTTGTAATTATTTTTCTGACATTGGACCACCTTTATGTTATGGTGTCAATAGTGTGTGGTTAAACCAAGTACATCACAGACAACCAAAAGTCTAAATAACTAACTTAATACATCAAAAACAAAATAATTCTCAGTAAGAAAAGTGCTTTCTAAGTGGAAGGAAACAATAACTGGATCATTTATTTCCCCCTGGAATCACTGACTCAAGTAGAAATATTTTATTGCCACATTAATTTATTCAAGTCAAGGTCAAGGTATTGTCTAGAAAAGTAAAAATAGAGTAACAAAAAGCAACTTTATATAAATGACAAATCAGTTTGACATTCCAGTTCTTAAGTCAGAAACACATTCATTCATAAATGAATGAATACAAAACACACTCATATTAAAGTGCCGCTCTCGTGAAAGTAATCACACCAAGTAGCTTAAAAAGAGGAAATATAATACAATCCAGCACCGTCAAACAGTTTTTCAAAGTATTGAGACTTTAGAGAAAAGCTCTACGAGTAGTAAACAAAATATAATAGAAAAATAGACCTGAACATGAGCTGTGCAGCGAGAGTTAAAGTAGCAAACATGCAGAGTTTGTGCGAGCAGTAGTAAATGGTAAACAACTGTTTTTCGAAAGTCCCAAAGGAAGGCTGCCTCTTTAAGAAGCCTCGACTGAGAAATGTCTGGAAAACACACGAAGGCTGACTCATACGATAATTAAAAACAGTCTCACACAAAAGCTGTGTGGGAGCAATGCTGTAATGTAACAAAATGCAGAAAGAGAACTTTAACTCTACTTTAAAACAAAGAATACACTCTATTGTTTTTCCTAAATGTACAGTGCTTCTGTCCACAGCTGTGTGTGTGTGTGTGTGTTTTGTTTGTCAGTTTATTCAGAGGTGGAGTCCTTTAGATACGCTATAATATCCACTCTTTCCCTTTTCTTTCTGATCCCACTGAAGATCATCTTGGTACCAGGAATGTACTTCTTAGGGTTTTGAAGGTAGACGATCAGGGTTTCCTCATCCCATATGATGCCTACAAAACAAACACACACATTAAACAACATGTTTTGCATGAGTATGAAAAATCTGCCTTCTCACACATCTGATAACTGTTTTTAGGTTTTATGACCTAGTGTTAGAGCAGTTTTTAGAGCGAGAGAGTCTGCCTGTTCAGACTTGCTGCTCTTATCGTCAGGTAGAGAAAGGACCAAGCTGCTTCTCAGCTAGAGCTGTAACGATTAGTCGATTGACAGGAAAATACTTGCAAACTATTTCACTAATCCATTTATTGTTAAAATATACTTTACAAAATATACTGACAAAATGTAAATACATTCACAATTGTCTTACATTTGATAGGTTAATCAAATAATCCAGAAAAACATTTGATATTGAATATTTGACAACGAAGATAATTGTTTGTTCAGCTCTGTAGAATAACTTTGTGAGATAATTTCTACACATATAAAACATGCAGATGCATATTGATATGTTGTATTCATGGGACAAAGGAGAGACAGAATTTGATACCATGTTTAAACCAAATTATAATTCTGAGTTAAAGTAAAACGATCAGATGATTACACTATGATCGCTGATGTAAGACTTATGAAGGCTTGTCAAAAGGGCTAGACAGCTAACTTGTGGAATCTGGGCCAATGAATGAACTTGAAGGGCCCTCAGTTAGGTGCATGGGTTTTTGGCAATTACAGGAAGTTGTACTGACAATGCAACTTTATATAGATACAATATAAAGTATTGGACACTGGATGAGTTAAAGCATTAAAGAAATCATCAGAAACTGTGCTAAATAGTACAGTTGATATGCTTTCTCTGTCTTTCCTTTAACAACTTTTAGAGAACAGTTTGGCAGGTTACCATGGTGGTGTTTGATTGGAAAAAGTGGACCAGTTTTAACATCATGACATAGACCTGGTTAAATAAAACATTATTGAAGTGCAAAACAACCCTTTTGTTAGAATGTATGCATTCACTGGTAAACATGTTTAATGTAATGTTTTATGGTTTAAGATTAACAACCATACATCCTAAAATGTAGCCTACTTTTGTCAAAGATATACAAACAAGTAAACACTGGATTAACATGTTTGGGTAAACTTTATAGTAAAAATGTGGGGTGGTTAGAAACGTTGCTTAATGCTTGCTATACTGGGGTGCATTGTTATATAGATAATTCCTCTTTGGCTGGTTGGAGTTTGGTTGTCTGTATGAACTTTTGATCCTTACCTTTGTCGATGTTGGCCTGTGTGTACTTGTAGCCAGATGCCTGTCCTGTCTTCCTCCCAAACAGACCCCACAGGTTGGGTCCCGTCTTGTGACGCCCCCCCTCTGTCACTGTGTGACACTGGGAGCATTTCTGAACAAATACCTTCTTCCCTTTGTTGATGTCCCCCATGACCAGGAGCTGGGAGGAGAGGAAATGGTGGCAAACAATGAGAGTTACAGTCAGGAGCACTGAAAAATACTAGTGATTCAAAATGTGAGAGTGGAATTAATATGGAGTCCGAAATTATTTATGACACAATGTTTTCTGGGGCATATTGGTAGTTTAATAACCCTCACACTTACGGGTTGTTTTAGAAATCCAGTACATTATTATTATTATGTTATTATGTCGAAAAAGACAGACCTATGCTGTAGAAAGTAGGTCAAGCTACAACTGCGTGTTAGCCTGACTGAAAAAGATCGCTTACACATAGCCTATCTTTTTTTTCATTTTAACTATTGAAATCATGAAACTGCGTGGTAAAACGCGACTACAACATAATTCAGCACAGACATGTTGTTTTTACCGGAGGAAGAAGTGAAAATACAACAAACAAGACAACGTAACAAAAAGTTAGAGATTTTAGTTTACCGTAGTCTACCAAATAATGCTGTGTGTAGTTCAAGGACCTCCAGGTAAAAGTGTCCTCCCCTTTCCAAAGAATGTGATTGTTGTTGTTGTTTGCTAAAGTTTCTAGCTGTTTTCCCTTTTAAACTACTCGAACAAGTACACGACCGGATCTGCTCCCAAATGTAGGAAGGAAGGGGTTGGGTCGGATTGAATAAGCAGTGATAAAACTTTCGGATAAACTCGTTGCGCAACTCAGTGAAGAGGCAGCTTCAGAATGTCGGTCACACCCATTTGAAGGCAGGTGAGGTGTGTCGTTTGCAATGTATGGGAACACATACCTGTTGTGAAAAAGGCGTTATTGATATCAATGTAAATTAGAGTGAATATTTACTTTTAAGTGCATTACAGAGATTATGAGGTACGTGATAATTTGATTTAGGACTTTACTGTGGTTTAAACCACAATAATGCACTAAAAAAGTAAACCAGTAGAACTAGACCGGGGTGAAGTAAGTTTCATGTTGGAGATTTGATCAAAATGTCTTCTAGTCATCTGCCATGGTAAATTGCCCATATTAGATAACTGACGTGTCATGATTTGATTTTACAAAGATATATTTTTTTAGAGATAATTTTTTTGGTGACAATTCTGCATTTTTTTATTGAAAAGTCATGATTTCTTTTCAAAACTCTCACGTCACGTTACAGTACCTTGTGATTCAAATCAATGCAGAACTGTATTACTTTGACAATTAGAACAAACCTCTTTTTTATGTAATGGATTTTAGTGAGTGTTTTACTTTACATGGATACTGTTATGAAATTCAACAGTTTCTTTGTTGAAAAGTCTCAATACTTAACAAAATGTCATATATTTCATGTGACCCATTGACTCAAAATGTATGCAGCATTGTATAACACTCATGGACAAGTAGTACATACCTCTTTTCTCTAATAGAATGTAGTACTTTTTATATTTTATACAAATATTGTTGTCAATATTCAACAGTTTCCATTTGGATGTCAAAGGACAATGACTGTTACAAAATACAAAAATGTCATATTCATATATATCTCCAAGCAGTATACAAAGTCTAATAGTGACTCACATACCGTATAACAAACCTGTTGTATAAGAGCAAGGCTTATTGAACACGTTCCTTCACAATGAACATGGGCGCTGATTTAATGCCTTTTTCACATTCATATTTTGACATATCACAGTAATAATGGATTAGCAACAACGTGATTTTCCTGCTGAAATGAGTCTCAATATCTGCTGTTATGCGTATAGACATATTCTCGATAATGATGCCTTTGATCCATAGAGAACCGCAGTGAATCTATCGATTAGATTTATGATTAGAAAATTATAAAAGTAGGGTAGACATGTGGAGATTACCCGGCTGAACAAAACGTGATCTGTCTCTTAAATGTGTGTCAACCACAGACCTTATTTCAAGCTATTTTCCAAAATCCTATGGAGAAATTGCATTGCATTTTTGTCGAAGGAACCGGAAGAAGTTTACTTCCGGGTTTTAGGACGCGTCACTGCGGTTTTCTATTCAGGTGTCTTATAGGCGCAGCCATATTAATGAGCCAGAATAATTACCAGGGTGTTAGAACTGACACACCTAAGAAGAATGCAGCCATTGTCAATGTCAATACACTGGTGCTCTTCCTGTCCTGACACGTGTCTGCTGTGAAGAAGATTTACATTCAGATCCAGTTATTTTGTCAAAGAAAGAGTAGGGATTCAGAAAGAGCAGGAATTCAGAAAGAGGTGATGTTTGGATGCTGACAGGAACATAGCATAAAGATAAGGGACTGAAAGGGGTGTCATCTGGGAACTGGCCCCTTTATTTGGTAAAAAATAAAAGGCTATATTTTCCAAATCCTACCATTTGGTCCTTTGAAGAGCTGTTTAAACGCTATGTATGTGTTGGTTTGTTTGTTTGTAACCCCTTGAGTTAATATAATTATCTGTTGAGACACTAAACTAATGTGTGTCTCCCTCTAGTGGTCAGTCACTGCGGACACACACACACACACACACACACACACACACACACACGCGCACACACACACACACACACACACACACACACACACACTGTTTTGAAGGTGATCTTCAGAAGGCTTCAAACTTTTAAGTCCCACCTGAAGACCCACCTCTTTTCTCTCGCTTTCGAGTCAGTTTGAGCTATGTTTTATCGATTTGTATGCTTGGATTGTCTGTCCATAGCCTTTATGTGCCTTTTATCTATTCTTATGTATGCCTTTTATCTATTCTTGTGTGCCTTTTATCTATTATTGTAATATTATATTTTATTATAATGTTATGTTTGCTGTGAAGCACTTCGGTAAACCCTCTGTTTTTAATATGTGCTATATAAATAAAGTGGATTGGATTGGATTGGCTTGTTATGATCACATCATTTAAAAGCCACTTCAAATACGTCTGCAGCCTGCTTGATTAAAAATATGAAAACAAATTTTAATGAATATGTATAACATCATTTAAAAAATAAATCCTCTATGTTTTAAATCTTTTGAAAGAAATTAAAATAATGTTCGTTTTGATTTCCATTAGAAGCATCCCCCCATCAATCTGATTTCCCAAATAATTATAAACCCAATAAAACCCAAACCACTCGCTTGAAACTTTTATTATGATGTCACAGTAATATAACTTTAGAATGACTCGTACATTGGAATATTTCAACATACTTATCTATTCTTTAACCTTTGATATTTATCATTCTGACTGTACAAAAAAACACTCTAGTGATATTTACAAGTTATATAGACCCTGGTGTTGGCTTGTCAAAACCTCTTTCATCCCTTTAAAGGTCTTTCCTTGCATTTCCAACTCTTCTGAGCTGGTTGTAAAGTCAAACACTGCAGCCCTGTGGGAAGAGAACACAACGTTGTTAGCAAACAAAAGTCACAGTCATGGTACATTTATTTGGAAATAAAGGGGTTAAAAGTTGCACCCACCATTGCAAGCCAGCGTTTAATATCTGTGCTTTGGTCATTGTCCTCAGAAGGCTCCAGAAGGGACTGCGTCTCCCAAACCTCTGGGGCAGCTGTGCTTCTCGGTCCTCACGGCACTCGGCACACAGGTCCCAGGAGCGCCCAAACCTCTGGGGCAGTTGTGTTTCTCGGACCTCACGGCACTCGGCACACAGGTCCCAGGAGCGCCCAAACCTCTGGGGCAGTTGGGTAATATCATCACCAGGCAAATTCTCCCTGCCGAAACGCATGGGTACGTTGGCGTGCAGGTAGAGAGGTTTGGCCGTGGGGGGGTGGAGCTTGATGATGGTCGGGCCGCTGATTCTGCTGGTGGTCGGGTTCACGTGCACTTTGTAGCTCTCCAGATCCAAACTCTTGCGAATGTCACTTTTTGTCTGGAAGCAAAAACATGTGGAAGTCAGAATCAGTCTGATTTAAAGGTCCCATGTCATGGCCATTTCTACTGATCATAATTCCATTGTTGAGGTATCCTAAAATAGATTTATATTGTGCAATTTTCCAAAATCACATTGGTTTCTCATACAGCATCTCTGTATAGTATGTGTATTCACTCTCTGTCCTAAACAGCTTGTTGGAGCTCCTGCCCCCCCCTCCCTATGAGCCCAGTGGCCGTCTGCGAGACAGCGAGACACAGCGAAACCCAGCCCGAACACACACACACACACACACACACACACACACACACACACACACACACACACACACACACACACACACACACCCGCAGCCTGGCTGGGAGTTTGTGTGTGTGCTCACACACCGACTCACAGCCTCGCCGCGTCCCGCCGTCTCAGGGAGGAGAAATCGGCGGAGCTGCAGCCGAGAAAAGATTGTGTGTGTGTGTGTAACGTAACGGCTCCGCGGACGTAACGTAATGGCTCCACTGATTGGTCCATTTGGACCAATGGGTCCATTTGGGTATGGGCACGTCACTGTACCCAGGAAGAAAAAGAGAAATCTCCAATGAGGCGTTCTGGGGCAGCATAGACACGTCTTTTCTGTGTTAGAGTTTTACTCGCTACAGGGTGTACTTTGAGCGTTTGTGACTCTGCAGACCGTTTACATGCATTAAAAGCTACATAACACACAAGGGGACGGGTAATAACCAGAAAAGCATGACATGGGACCTTTAAAGAATATTTTCATGAATGTTGTCGATTACTAGCTTATTAGTCAACTAGTTTTATGATAATTTCATCTTTTTCTGTAAAGTTTTAAACAAATATGACACATTGCTGGTTCCATCTTCTCATATGATGAGGATTTGTTGCTTTTTTGTCATATAAATAATGATCACGGCAATATCTTAGGTGTTTAGACAGTTGGTTGGAGACATACATATTTTAAATAAGTCATCTTAGGTTCATCTTTGACATAAGACAACAGTATAATTTATTACCACAATTATTTGTTTCAGAATTAGTTTTGACCACTCATATTTTCTCTAGGTTGGATCACATAATTTCCCATTATTATTTCATACACAGTACAATCAAAAGCAACACCATCATGTACGTGAACATGAGTGACCCATTTACATATTTTCTTGTAAAAGATATGTGACAATTGCTTTAAATAGTTGGAATCAATTGTAATTTTGCGATCTTGAAAGTTGTAGTACAGAATACTAGGAAAGTGGAGCTGTCCAAAACACATAAATACTCAATTTATAATCATATATGACAAATGAAAGTAGGAAATCCTTACATTTGATAAGCTTAATAACATATAATATGTGGCATATTTGTTTGAAAAATGACAAGTGCCAATTAAAAATTAATGAATCTACTTACATTTGAACTGTAAAGGACTAATTGAATAAGCATCATTGGATAGTCCTTACCTGTTGCTGTTTCCTCACACTGTGTCTTCCATAGTCGCTGCTCAGCAAAGTTTTATCCCTGTTGATAAATGTCCCGTGTACCTGCAAGTCAGACGCCCCGAGCATCAGGAGCAGCACTACAGTCAGCATGTTAACAGCAGGAGACATGTTGTCTGAGGACCCCTCTGACCACAGTTATTAAAGACCCCTGAAACGTACGTCACCTGTCACATATTGTAGACACACACACACACACACACACACACACACACACACACACACACACACACACACACACACACACACACACACACACACACACACACACACACACACACTTACGCACATACACTAATTCAAACTGAGCAAATTCCTGCTTTAATAATCTTCCAGCTCTGAAGAATAGATTTGGAAAGGCATTTATGTCCTCATTAGGCTGCTGAATGAACCTGTTGGCAGAGGGGAAGGAAACTAAACACAGGCATCTTATGGAAATGGCCAATTCACATTCAATACACGTGATACAGGATGTGTTGTTCGATATAAAGGCTCTATTTTCCCCTTTACTACAAGCTCTGCTCATTATGTGGCAACGTCAATTAGAGACTAAGCAAGCTGCTTTGAAGGACACAGGTTCACAAGTGGATGTGTTTGAGTTTTCTTTTATGTCTGGAGAAATTTGAGCTCTGTTTTTGATTCATTCAGTTATTTCCTCTTTTATTAGAATATAACAATTGTAATCTAACATTTCCTTTAACCCTTTTTTTTGCCATAATTTAATTTGTGGAAATAAGAGTAAAGGTTGAAGACTCTTTACAATGCTCTGGCCCGTACGCCAGTGTTAGAGTCCAGTGTTTTTCCATAATGACCCATAAGATATAATAATACTTATATGATAAAGCTGGTGATATTTCCGCTATTTCCGACACACAGAAGAGCAAAAATAAATACATAAATAAATAAAACGATAAAGAAGCCCATCCCTCAATAATATACCAGCCTGTGTCCCTCAGCCCAGAGCGCACTTGCCACTACTGAAGACATACATCTTGCAAGCTCATCATACATTTTAAATTGTGAATAACTCTTAAAGGTAAGGTAGGTAAGAATGGAGAAACCAGCTCGAGTGCGCTAGAATTTGAAAGTACACAACCGAAAAAAATCTGCCCCTTCCTTCAGACTTCCTTACAGAGCCCCTCTTCCAACACACGAACGCACACATGACCAATGAGGGCACGAGATAAGATTGTGTACGAGATGGAAGGCTATTTTAGCCGGGCCGGCTCAGATGATTGGTCGCGCCACGGCTTCCACAGATGAATTTTTTTAATGTATTTATTGTCAAAGCATTTCATATATTCATTGCTATCGGGATGTTAAGAGCATTTAATATAACAAAAAGTGTTTCTGAAGTGAATTACCTACCCCACCTTTAATGATACCTCCTTTTGCACAACCATATATTACAATACATAAACATTACTTAACCATTTTTACTATTAATAATACATATTGATGATTCGCTTCAAAGACGTGTGCATGGGGGTCGAAAGTATAGAGAGATAGACTCAATGTACGATTGTAGGATTTGTAGTCAATATCAAAAATATACAATATCACCAGCTTTCTCCTTCAAATAAATGATGTCTTATACGTCATACTGGATAAACACTAGAAAATACCCAAAATGCATGTGTGTCACATTACACATTGTTCACAAAATGCAGCTTAAGCCTCTATGGAAACGTAAGTATCTAGCAACCGTTGGACAACAGCTTTCGACAAGTATCTGCAACAGGCGTGGGGTCGACGTCACTCACCATTCCTGTTCCTGAGTGTGACAATAAGTGACTCACCGGAGCTGTGTTCCCATCCTTGGCAGACAGAATGTGAGGAATGCTTGGTGTGAACACACAGGTTGATAATGACAGCGCACAGGGAACTTTCATTTGATCCATGCGTCATGACCCTGACATTGTTTTCATGTGCCTTGTTGCCATGTCCTGTCTCACCTTTAGCACAGCGGGCCAGTGGAAGAGTATCCCAGTCACATCTGGTTTCAGTGATTCAGTATCATCCTTAAGATGTTTTTTTATGGCTATGGTTTCAGTCTATCTTTCCGTATTATCATTTACCTCCCACCTCTCCCCAGCCTCTCTCTTTGTGCTCTCCCTCCATGACCCCCGGCCCCAGCTTGCAGACTATGGGGTTCTGGATTTACGATCCTGTCTCTGACACTTATCCAGAGTCTTATCCGCAGAAGGCTTCCCTATACCGCGAGCCCTCCCTTTGTTCTTTCACCGAGCACTCCCTCAAAGACCTTGTTCTCGGACACTGTAATTCTCTCTTCTTAATGTTTTTAATGTGCATCCCTCGCCACCCCGGCGGCCTTTTCATCTTTCCATTTTCGTCCTTTTGGGCCTCCTCTCCCTCCCCTCCTCTTTGCTTCTATGCTGTCCACTTGCTTGAAAACAGACGCCGCTTATTTGGAAGAAATACTGCCCTGCAGGTTTGATTTAAAACGCCTTGAACCTCCCACATATAACATGCTTTTGACTCATTGTGCACCCGTGGTTGAGGTGGCGTACGGTTTCCTGAAATGTCTAAAACAATAATGAATTATTTTGTTAACTTCAGGAAAACTAATCGGGCATACAGATGAAAACTATAGGGAAAAGGTACAAATAGGTAGATTCAAAGAAGAAGCAGAAACAGGAAGTAGAATAAACCAATGTTGATCCCCACCTCTCTCCCTCTCTCTCTCTCTCTCTGTCTGACTGGGATCTGGCAGCCTTCCCAGAATTCCTCTCTAGGACCAGGACACCCTCGGATTCCTGGGATGATTTGTGGGAATGTGCTGTTACCCCCCTGCTGAGCTGATTTATGTTCGGTTTTATCTTCCCCCTCACTTAGACATCAGCCGGGTCATCATCACAACGCTTTACATGCCCGTACACTCAGCGAGGAGACACATTCATCAAGCTCTTGTGACGGGTTATAGTTTTATCAATGATCAAATCCATTTCTGCGGAATCACAGCATTATGATGTATGTGAAGACACACTGACGCCAGGCAGACAGACACACACACTCGCACATGTGGTCGGCTGTGTTGCGTTGTTGTGATTGTGGGGAGAGGTGATGGATTCGTGTCTCTCACATCCAGGAGTGACAGAAGGAAAACTTTGGGCATATTGGAGGTTAAGGAGAAAGACAGTAAGTGTTACTGTATCTTTCTGTCCTCACAAAGACAGAAGGTTTTATGTTAAAGCATTTAACCTGCTGCACATGCAGAGGCCCGGGCGTTTTGGGGGCCGTACGCAGAATTTGAACCCCTCCACCCCATTGAAAGCATCTCAGGAAAAGACAATAAATTATCCTGATTAGTTTCCTTTTTACGACAGGTAGTAAAACTCCACCAAAAACCCGGATAAGACAGAATATTCCTTAAAGGACAATGTTTTATATTTGTGTTTCTGTCACCAAGTCTCAAAAAAAGGACCAAAGACAAGAATATTTGAGTCTGTCTCTCTTAGTGATTGGTTACTACTGAAGGCATACATCTTGTAAAATAGGTCAGAAATAAAAGCAAAAGGCCAAAAAATGTAATATATGTGGACAACGTCTTGTGAAACATGTGAACTGGTGCAATAATGTGTCTCATTGAAGTGTTTCCACATACTATTAGGACACAAATGCAGCTCTTATAAGGTACTGTGTGAGGCTTTGGCTACACAGACCATTCTTGTAAATAGGATTGATGTTTTTGGTGTTTTCTTAGGATTTGTTGACGAACATAAAATATCGCAAGACCTTTAAAGAACCTAAATGAACACAGGCTTCACATGTTGTCACTGTTTGGAGAAAAACATGTATTGTGTCTTCAAATAATGTGAATATCTTTATGATTTTTGAGTTCCTGCAAGTTAATAATCCCTTGAGTGGTTTGAGTATAAGCCTGAATCACAAAAGGACATAAATAACTTTTTTTTAACCTGACACCAGCAGTTTCTAACTTGCTGATTTGTGGTCCCCCGAAGCACCTGAACAGCTGCTCTGTTCACCTCTGCTTTTGTAAAGCTCTGCATGCAGACAACAGAGAAATGCACATATTTCTTAATTTTAATCAATGGGGCCTTTAGTCAGTTTATCGATCTGCAAAGCATATGTATCTGTCGTGCTCAGGTTTTGAGTCTAATTCACGGTTGAAGTCTTGTTTCAAAATGTTTAATTACATTAGCACATGGGCATGTTTGCAGGTCAAGAGGTATAAAAGTATTACTATATACTGTACCTGATGATGAGCCTATTTGGACTTGAAGAATACTAATACTTCTATTTAATTTAATAAAGAAATGGAACTTTAAATGGAACAGTCTGGCATGTTCTCAAAAAGAGTGAAATCTTTCCAAGGCTCTGATTCACTCACCTTTTAAATCAGTGCAAGCTTTGTTCAATATTAAATACCAAAGAATCAATCCGTAGTTAATGTAAAATCACATTTGAGTTTTTCTGATATTTGTCACATTTACATAGACCACTAGATGGCACTCTAGGTTTGGATGATCAAATCTATAATTTACATATTTGTTTATAAGAGTCTCTAATCGGTTTTAAATCCAAAAATATGTTGTTTCTGTTGAGCTGTTACTCAAATGTCAGATCAGTTGTATGCCTTTTGTTGAGGAAATCAAACTAGTGTTGATTTTAGTGCATCATTGGACACATTGTAAAACATGTCGTCCACCAGGGGGCGCCTGAACACCCTTACTTCTGTGTTTGTAGAGGAGGAGGAGGAGGAGAAGCAACATTAGGGGTGGAGAGTCAGAGGCTGTCCTCAGAGAAAGAGGAGTGTCTCCAAAAAGGGGAGGTGTTCTCACGGTAATTGACAAGGGGAGGCGCTGAAAACACTGACCAATCAGAGGCGTGTAGAAATCCACCAATCGGAGAAGGAGAGGAAGGCAGGAAACTGAGCAAATTACCCTTGATGAGAGAGTGGGAGGATGGGAAAGATGAGGGGCCCTCGGATAGGGGTGTGTGTGCGAGTGTGTGTGGGTGAGAGTGTAGAATTGATGGAAAAATCTGCCATTATATCTTATAATTTAATTTGATTTATTTTTATTTTATTTTATGGTATTTTCCTTTTTCCCAATCATAAATGCTTAAGG